CGAAAACAATGAGACCAATGACGTAAAGAAGTCTCCCAAGAAGACCCCAAAAGAGACGACGGGTTCACCTTCGAAGCACAAGACCACGGGACACTTGGAAAACATTATCTTACATGACGGCTTTTGGTCGATCGACTCATCTCCGCCTGAACAAGATCCGTGCGAAGGCTCAACTCCTGATAGCCTGGGCACAGTGCGCAGACCGGCTACTAAGAAGAAAAGACTCCCACGCGTCAGCATTCTTGACCTCGTTTGATAAAATGCCTTCAATATACCCTTTTCTCGTTTTGGCGGGTTGGCGTTTAGCATCAATTTGATTTTTCCCAGGTTTGGGGTTTTTGGATGTGTGTGCAACAGCATTTTTCGTTATTCTACAGCGTTGGATGGACATGTTGAATCCTTTCTGCCAAGAACCAGGCAAGCTAATAGCTCATGGATTGCTGGATGTTATGTACATATGTTGCGGGTGTCTTTGTAACTAAGAAGATCATGTACGTATATCTGAAAAACGTACAAAAGCCATGTCAGAAAAGTAACCATGCAAAACGTATACCCAAAGTAACGAAGAGAAGAGAGAAGTACCAAAATGTGCATGGCTTCAGCCAGCTCCTATCTAAACAAAAATCTAATTCTTGATGCAGCACAATGCCAGAAAATAAAGCAGACGAGAAATATGTATGCCCAAATATTAAACAAAAATAATACTACAAAACGGAAAAGGGAATATCGTGCAAGCGCTGTATCATTTATGCGTCTACCCAAACACCTTCAGGAAACCCCAGAGACCAACTCCACTCAACACCGGGATCGTCAGATTATCATCCCAGCCCCACATATCAATGAACTCGCTGCCAGCGGCAACAACGCCAGAGACAACACTCATGACACTCAAAGCCAAAGGACCAGTAATAACCGCCGAGTTACTGGGTTCCCATCCCAGAAGGCCACGAACGCAGTTCGGGAGCAAATTCAAGCGTCCCGTGAACATAAATGCGTCTTGCGAGTCATCAGGGAAAGCACCAATGTAAGGCACGAACCAGCCCCAGAAAGCAGCAGCGGTGGCAACACCCATGAGCCATGCCGCCATGGTACCAGCCAAGCTCTTTCCGGGGCGCAGACGGGGTGTGTAGCGGCCGTACAAACGACCGAATGTCGAAGCGGCGGTGTCACACCAGCTAAGGAGTAACACGCTCATGACGCCGACGTCCTTGGGGAAGAACCGGAGAGCAACGTATGCTCCGAGGAGATACCAGATCACGCCGTTGTAGCCGGCGACCTCTGTTTCACGCATGAGGGCACCCATGCACCGGATGTATACCTTGTTGACCTTCTCGAAGCGGTGACGGATGAGGTCCGTTGCTGCGATTGGTACTAGGGCGGCGAAAAGAACAGGTGTTATCTGTAGAGTTTGCACACCTCGGCTATATAATGACAAAGTCAAAAATCCGATTGACACGTGCAAAACCTTGCGCGGGATCTCATGGCGGTGAATGAAGCTGCGGTAGCGGGCGTGGAGGGGGATCAGTCCGAGGGGAGATGGTGATCTGGATAAGTCGCGCAGGGCAGCAGGAATGCTTGACGGGGATAGAAGATTGTTCGAGGCAGTACCGTTGGCCGAGCGCGGCGGAGAGGCGGGTATCTTGGGGTTTGATCGGCGGTTGCGCCGAGCCGAGGGTGTCGTGGGGGATCTTGATGCTCGCGCTGAACCGGTACTTTCGGGTGAATCATCTGGCTGGCGCGATCGACGTGCTGCAGACCGTGTTACTGGTGCGTTATATCCATCGGGCGTCTCAGACAATTCCGATATAGAAGGTGTCGGCGATATCACGCGAGGCGTTGCCGGTACGGGATTTGGCGAGGACATCTCGGGTACCCTCAACTTAAAAGCAGGCAGCGATGCGGCTCTGACGACACCAAAAGGTGACCGCGTGCAAATATCTATGTTGTCGCAAGCGAATATGCCACGGAGTATCAATGGACTTGTTAACAGAGCAATGATGGCGGTTCGGAAGCACGTGACAGTGCTTTATCGTTGATTATGGGCGAATAAGGTAGAGAAATAAGACAGAAACCCAGTGCATGATGCGATCACCAAGCACTTATTATATTAAATAAAAGTAAAGTGAATGTAGTAAGACTAAGTTGAGGGAAAAAGCAGTTCACGATCCCAGTTTCCGCCCACAGCCGCAGTCACGTGCCTGGTATCTAATCGATAACGGATGGATTTTTTTTTCTTTGCGATGCGACTCGAGAAGCAATTTGACGACTCGGTGTCAGTCGGAATTAATAAATGCCTCCCAAGTCGTCTTCAAGGGCGTGGGATACTCTCACGCCCCCACTGTCAGAATGGTCCCTCGACGCTGTGGCCTCAATGGGCTTCACGCGCATGACCCCAGTCCAGGCCTCGGCCATTCCTCTGTTTATGCAACATAAAGATGTGGTGGTGGAAGCTGTCACTGGAAGTGGAAAGACATTATCATTCCTGATTCCAATTGTGGAAAAGCTTCTTCGTCTTGATCAACCTCTCAAGAAGCATCATGTTGGAGCTATTGTCATTTCTCCGACAAGGTGGGTTAATGCGCAAGTCCAGGTCTACAGAGTTCGTTACTAATATTGATATATTAGAGAATTGGCCTCGCAGATTCACCAAGTTCTTCTCTCGCTTTTGGAGTTCCATCCAGCGTCGGCCGCAGCCATCAAACCCGCCGAAGAGGGTGCTCCTCGTGCGAAACCCTCTTCATCGACATTGAGGGTCGTTCCACAACTTCTCCTGGGCGGCGGAACATCTCCGGCGGAAGATCTGAAATTATTCCTCAAGAATTCGCCCAATGTGTTGGTTTCTACACCCGGAAGATTGTTGGAGCTGCTTTCGTCGCCTCACGTTCACTGCCCCCAGGCATCATTTGAAATGCTTGTCCTGGACGAGGCCGACAGACTTCTTGATCTTGGATTCAAAGACGACCTGCAGAAAATCTTGGGCCGTCTGCCTAAGCAGCGACGTACGGGATTGTTCAGTGCCAGTATCAGTGAAGCCGTCGATCAGATCGTCCGACTTGGTCTACGCAATCCCGTCAAAATTGCCGTCAAGGTCAGAGGAGGAGCTGGCGTTGAAGAAAAGCGCACTCCAGCGAGGTATGTCTTTATATCCGTTGTTCCACATCCAACCCCAATCTAACCACTCAATAGTCTGCAAATGACCTACTTGACAACACCTCCGCTTCACAAATACGCCATTCTGAAGCACATCCTTTCCACTGTCCAGCCCACCCCCCAAAAAACCATTTTCTTCGTATCGACATGCTCCAGCGTCGACTATCTCGCCACAATACTACCCATAATCCTTGGAGACGAGTTCGTGCTAGTCCCACTACACGGTAAACACCAAGCCAACGTCCGCCAAAAGAACTTCAACCGCTTCACCACCTCCACAACCCCCTCTATCCTCCTCACGACCGATGTCGCTGCTCGCGGTCTCGACATTCCCTCCGTGGATCTTGTAGTACAGATCGACCCACCCTCCGACCCCAAAACCTTTATTCATAGATGCGGTCGTGCCGGTCGTGCCGGCCGTCGAGGCCTCAGCATCGTCCTCGTCCATCCCGGCCGCGAGGAGGATTACGTCTCGTTCCTGGAAATTCGCAAAACCCCCGTCGCACCATATAGTCTACCCGAGTTCACGGATGAACAGGCCACAGCCGCGATCGACAAGGTCCGCAAAGCGGTGTTGAAAGATCGCGCCATGCACGACAAGGGCCAGAAGGCATTTGTCAGCTGGCTGCGCAGCTACAGCAAGCACCAAGCAAGCAGTATCTTCCGAGTTGCGGATCTGGACTGGGAGGCTCTCGGCAAGGCGTGGGGACTCCTCAAGTTGCCGAAGATGCCTGAAGCACGCTCGTTTGAAGGAGATCGGACGTTGGGGATTAAACTTGAGTGGTCCAACTACACGTACAAGGACAAGCAGCAAGAAAAGCGTCGCAAGGAGGCCATGGAGGAGGCTGCTAATGCGCAAGGCACTGAGCAGGGATCTAACAAGCGCCGTGCTACGGAGAGTGTGGCTTGGAGTCAGAAGACCGAAGAACGGGATAAGAAGTTCAAGAAGAAGGAATTCAAGAAGGTTCGGAAGGAGAAGGAGAGATGGGAGCAATTGCCAGAGGATCAGAAGCAGAAAGCTCTTGAAACGGAACGCATGTTGGAGGAGATTCGTGCTAAGAATGAGCAGCAGCGGTTGTTGAATCAGGCTAGCCAGGCGAAGGAAGCAAAGGGCGAAGAGTTCCAGGGCTTTGACTAGTTGGAAAATAGCATAGTAGATCTCTGTATACCATACTGCAACTCCAATTTATATCCTCTACAAACCTCATCTCTACCATCTGTTGGCGTGTGGAAACTAAGGATTCCATTCAAATAACCTAACAACCGCTAATGTTCACTCATGACAATGCGCTAAAGAGCGACCAAAAAAAAAAAAAGCAAGCAAAAAACAAACCAAATGGCAAGAAACAACTAAACCAAATGGCAAGAAGCAACTCAACCAAGTCGCAAGAGACAACGAAACCAAATCGCAAAAAAAAACGAAACCAAATCGTAAGAAACAACTAAACCAAATGGCGGAAGGCTCAAAAAGGACACTCTCCTAGGCCCAAGCCTGGATCGATCCCTCAGGGGATCCAAAGTGGTCCTAAGGATGTCACATCGAAAAGAACAGAATTAAGGTCTCAACACTTGACCCAAGCACAGAAGGCGCGCCAAGGAAACCGTGTAATTCCATTCTTTTCTTTTTTTTTTTTTTTTCAAAAATTTTTCCCTTCTTTTTTCAGATAGTTGAGAAGGTACCTGTTCAGAAGGTACCTCGAAAGGTATTTGAGTTCAATGTCGGAGTGTATTTCGGTAATTCAGAAGAGGTCAAGTCAAAGCTCAACCCAAGATCCAGTCACTGGCCAGATGATATGGTTCAGACAGTCGGTAGGTGGCATGCCGTGGCCAGTGAGGTCTCTTTTTATTTTCTACTCAGCGTCCCGCCAACCAGCGAGCCGGCCCGTGAAGACCCCATGTTGCTCGTCAATGTATGCCAGATTGTTGGGGTATCGGCCGCCGAAAGTCAAGGGCCGTGCGCGCGGTAGATACTTGGGAAGCTTAGGATCGCTGAAATTCAAGCACTCAATCCAAGTTTCAGTCTCTGGCCAGATGGTTTGGCTCAGGTCACCGGTAGGGCATGCTGTGGCTAGGGAGGTTTTTCTCATCTTGCGGCGACGGAGGACGTCCTCATCAATCAAAGAGTCATAGGTGCCCGAGAAGCGATGGGCCGCTCGAAGACGACTGGGGGTCTTCGGCTTGTACTGCTCTGCGTGCTGACGGGCCTTGCGGAGTTCGTCGCCGAGATCTTCGATGGGCTGAGATGCGCCCTGGTCATTGAAGTTTTCCAGGCGGGTATTGTCAGAGCGAACACGTTTGGAGACATGCTTCTCTTCCGGTGCATCGCTGGGTGCAGGTCGTTTGGTCGTGGTATCTCCACGGACAGGCTCGGAGACATCCTCCTCTTCTGGTGCATCACCGGGTATAACTTGTTCGGCCATAGTATCTTGGGGACCCTGCTTTCCTGTGGGCAAGTTCAAATCGTCCTCTGTGATCTCGAAGTAAGCTGGGTCAAACCCATAACTACATCCTGGAGGGTGGGGAATGACATCTGGTGAGGGTTCTCGCTTGCGCTTCTTCGATTCTCTCTCGCAGATCGCACGAAGTTCTTCTTCTGAATTTGGAACGTCGAGGCCCGCAATATCCGACTCCCCGACACGCATGCGCTCAAGCAGTGCTTGGTCGAAACCTCGTGGGTACAGATCATAGTCATATTTCCTTCTTTGGCCAACCCGTGGAGCACGTGCACTGGCTGTCAGACGCGAGTTTTGCCCTGTAGCACGTGGGCGGGGGGTGGGAGATTGGAAATTTCTTGGTGGCATAACGGAAGAGGAAGGGGGAGCCGAGGAGGGTGTTGTGACGGAAGCAGAAGATTCATTTCCCATTGGACGTTGAGGTTCAGCTACTAGAATCACCATGTTAGCCACTAGAGTTATATACAATGATATAAGGGGCACCTACCTTGTGGGACCTCTGCAGTTTGGGGCACATTGCCTCGTCTCCAAAGACCAGTCACTGAGTTGAAGAACCATTGTCCCCAACCAGTCCGGTTTTGATTCTGATTCTCATTTGGTGGAAGTGCGGAAGGCAATGAAGAGAGTGGAGCAATGCGATTACCACGGGGCACGGTCTCTTCATTTGCGTGAGAGGCCAGAGGGGTCGAATTGCCAGATCTCGCATCTTCGCCCTGCTGAGCCAAAAGCTCGGGGACACGGTAAATGGTGCTATCGATTCGTCCATTCCTTTCAGCTTCGCGTCGTCGCGCGCGATCCGCATACGTTCTGCGAGAGCCGCCACGAGGTCGGTTTTCGAAGGCGGGTGGAGTTTGAAGTGTCAACTTGTGACGTTTCGACGGCGAAGGATCGACTTCGGACGATCGGTTCCGTTTCCTGCTGGGCTCTTCCGTGGGGATCAGTAGGGATTCATCCGGGGTATTAAACATAGGGAGTCTGCGAGGCCAGCCTTTCCAGGGAGCTGGCGGGGACCAGGGGAGTGACCAGGGGATTCGACGAAGCTTATCATAGACTCTTCCAGGCGGCCAGGCATAGTGAGTGACGGGGGTTTGCGGAGGAGAAGGAGTTGGCTCAGGCTCCCTTTTCAGGAGTTCGCTGGCACTTCCCCATATGAAGGCCGTAATGATTCGTCTTCTGAACATGCGCGGGGGGGCCGGGGGGTCTTGGGGGAGCTTGGGGGGCAACGTACGGGTGTCTGGTTGCTCCACCGACGGAATGAGTGTAACGGGGTCTTCCTGAACCCCGGCGGCTTCGGCGGCATCAGGCTCCGATTTGGGAGCGGCGGCAGCCTTCTAGAAAAATGAGTTAGGTATGAACTATTGTGACATCTGGTTTCTGAACTGACCTTCTTGCGGCCAGCTTTCTTAGCTGGCTTCCGCTTTGGAGCGGGCCTCTTTCCAGCGGACTGTGCCTCTGGCACAGTGGTGGCTGTCTCGGATGCCGCGTCCGTCCCAGCCGCCGACGCACTCCGCGTCGTGCGCCGGCGGCGTGGGACGTACTCCGAGATTGGCGGAAGAACGTGGTTCGACCGCAGTCTCATCTTGGCGAAACGCGCAAGATGAGGAGGAGGGGATGGTGGCGAGGGGGTGATGAGGGGCAGGTGAAAGAAGTCTGATTGAAATGTAATGGATCAGTCAGAGATGTCTCAAGGATTCATAGGTAACATATGTAGATACTAACTAGTTAATCGCTTTGGTAGAGTCGATCACAAAGACTCTGGCAATAGCTGTACTATATCCAAAGGCTTTGGATAGTAATGTTGTGAGTGATGGGGAGAAGAAGAGAAGAAGAGAAGAAGAGAGGGAGAAGAGGGGGAGATGTAAACAACAACAGTTGCTAGACGCGACTACGACTAACCGATCAAAAGGGAAGGAGCGCCTTTTGGGCCAAACCATGTCACTTTTTTTCAAAATCGGAAGGCGCGACCCGGCAGAATTATTTAATCCAAGGGCGGTGTGATACGTGACGATAGATCTATAGAAGCTGTCGCAAGGGACACCCATTGACTATTGTTCCAATTATTGTCCCTATTGTCTGATATCACGGCGATTTTCTTTCTATGGGCTATTTTGAACTCAACTTTCTATATGGAGTATCATATTTCTAGTTAATTCTCAATTGACACATGAAGCAGCCTTGTCTCTTCTTATATCGTCCCCCGCATACTCCATAGTCCACTCCTCTTAAGATATAATCCATTGCTCATTGATGTTGTCAAAGTATCTACTACTCCATATGATCATCATAATCTAGCGATTAAAGCTTTCATACATGTGCCTGAAGCCAATGTCTGATGGAGAGATTGCTCTCGAGTGCCTGAAAAATACTGAAGATCATTTAGGCGAAACTGACTAAAATTCCAGAACTTATACTTTAATAACGAGTTGGTTACTTGAAGTTGTTTTAGCGTGAAGATAGATCTGGGAAAAGAAACAATGCTATTTGTACAGATGCTCTGCGAATGAAACATGGAAATAGAGACATAGACCAACAAGTACCCCTCGCTAGCTCCTAGATAGATGATACAAGGTAAGACGCTGATACTTTTTTCAAAGTCAGCCAATCACAAAAGAAGAGAATAGTGTAGAGATACAAAAGATCTCTTATTAAAACAATGCCCTTCATAGGGCAATCTCTCCCTTCCACGCAGCGTCGGACAATCCCAATGTCCCCATCAGGTTCTGCCACCGGGGACCTCCGCGTTCCTTCTTGCGGACATATTGCAGCAGCTTCTGGCGCTTGTGGACTAATAGTTGCATGTTGCGCTTGTTGTGTTTGTCCTTGTTGGCAGTCTCGAGGTGTCGGGAGAGGTTCATGATTTTCACGGTCAAGATCGCAGCTTGCACCTCCGCAGAGCCGGTATCGGGTCCAACACGTGGCGCGCGTTCCGGATGAACAGGGGCCGATTCATGGGCCATAGCCGAAGGCTTTGGTGGGAGATTTGAGTCTGTGTAGTGTCGCCCGAATGTTTCGATACACTTTGTAATGTTAAGGCGCACGCGGTCCTTGGTGTTTCCATTGTTGAGGTTGACAATCCGGTTGATTGCTTCCTGAGCATTCTTATGCTCTTGGTTATGCAAATTCACTGCCTCCTTCTCGGCTTGAGGATCGGCTGTGTTGCGATCGGGACTTTTAAGCGGTGCTGTTAAATCCTTGGAGAAGTCGAGGGCGGCATCCAGCTCGTTCGACTTCAAGTAGTAGTTGAGATCCTCAGACAAAGATGACGGGATGTGCGAGTTGGATTGGATTGCTGTCATCTCTAGGATAAATGGTGTCGGCTGACTCTTAACAGGGTCCCCGACCGAGGATTCCCGTTCCTCCGCGAGGACTTTCTGGCGGGAGACATTGGCTGCCTTGCGCTGGCGCGCCTGGGCCATCAGGAATGGGTCATGCTTCCTCCGGATTTGAACCTTGCTGGACGCAGCTCTGATAGAAGTGTTGATCGAATTGGACAACGGGCTAGATCCGTAGGTTGATCCTATGCGAGTCTTGGTTAGCACCCAGGTGATTGAACATTTGACTTGACTGATGTCGAGACTAGCATACCAGTCAATGCGTTCAAAGAGGACTGAACTGAAATGCGCGGAGGCATGGTGGGCGTAGCTGGCGAGTAGATCACTGTATTGTAACAATCAACTTCTCTTTTCCAAGGACCTTTCGACGGGAAATCTTGCGGCCGGAGGTCCAACTACGCTAATCCTAGTCAGGGTATTATCTGCCCCAGGCACCGATGATCACGTGGAAGGAGAGCCAAGATCGGTATTACATAACCAATACCCCAGCGGACTCTGGAGCCCTAGCCCTAGCGCACGCAAGCGAAATTCTCCCGAATCGCGAGAGTGCAACAATTTTGCGGCTTGGCTTTGATCTTTTTCCCTCCATCACCACGACAAGAGCCAGACGATTGATCCTCCAACTCATCAATCCATCAATCGCCCAACATGGCCCCTTCCCAGCTCCCCCGGTTTTCAACCCTACCGCGCAGGACATTGAGATGCTCCTTGCCGCTCAGTGCCACCTTGGTTCCAAGAACCTTCAGGTGCACATGGAGCCCTACCTCTGGAAGCTCCGCGCCGACGGTGTCAACGTCCTGAACATTGGCAAGACCTGGTATGCGCGAACGCAAAACGACTTCTGACTGTAGTATAGTGTCTAATATATATGTTTCATTGAAATAGGGAGAAGATCGTCCTGGCTGCCCGTATCATCGCCGCCATCGACAACCCCGCCGATGTCTGTGTCATCTCCGCTCGTCCCTACGGCCAGCGTGCTGTCCTGAAGTTCGCCTCCCACACCGGTGCCACCGCCATTGCCGGTCGTTTCACCCCCGGTAACTTCACCAACTACATCACCCGCTCTTTCAAGGAGCCCCGTCTCATCATCGTGACCGACCCTCGCACTGATGCCCAGGCCATCAAGGAGGCCTCTTACGTCAACATCCCCGTCATTGCCCTTTGCGACACTGACTCCCCCACCGACTTCGTCGATGTTGCCATCCCCACCAACAACAAGGGTCGTCACGCCATCGGTCTCGTCTGGTGGATGCTCGCCCGTGAGGTCCTCCGTCTCCGCGGTACCCTCGCTACCCGCGAGACCGAGTGGGACACCGTTGTCGATCTCTACTTCTACCGCGACCCCGAGGCCGAGGAGAACAAGGAGATTGCTGATGAGACCAAGGTCGCCGGTGCTGAGGAGATCGGTGCTGGTGCCGTCGAGTCCGGCTTCGCTGGTGAGAACTGGGATGCCTCCGCCCCCGGCGCTGGTAACCCCGGCACTGCCTTCGCTGCTGCCTCCGCTGCCACCGCTACTGCCGGTGCCACCAGCTGGGATGCCGAGGGTGCTGACTGGGCTGCCAGCTCCGCTGCCCCCACCGGCGACTGGGCTGAGGCTGCTCCCGCCGCTGGTGAGGCCAAGTGGTAAATTGCTTCGCGGTGACGAGGATAGTCGTTGAGAGGGAGGAGGTTTGATCTCAATAAAAAGTTTGGTGATCCGGGATGATTGTGACGATTTTTGGGTCCCTCGAGGCACAGGAATCGAAGAAATGCTCTTGTTTTCTCTTATACACCATCTAATCCATTCACCACAAATGGGTTACAATCTCCCGCAAATTCCCTTGACATGTCTATCCTAGTCCCTGTGTGCAATTCTCAAAAAACCAAAAGAAACTGAAAAACAGCAGAAGAAAACGAGCTTTCACCGGGAACCTTTCAATCTTTTGCCTCAGTGGTCTCATCTTACCAGCACTTTTTTATTTCCATTTTTTTTTTGCATCGGGGAGGAATTGCCATGCCAATCATTGACTGGCGCTTATGAGGGAAAGAGATCCAGTTGCTTTTATCTACGAAGCTTCTGGGGGAAAGCCCTGTGCTGTCAATTCACAAGGTGGACTTAATCGTTACCTTGGTTTCTCCCTGTGTGTTTTTCTAGTAATCTGAAAAGGTTGTGCTTGGTATAATATCCAGTAGGTTTTGTAGTGTATGTATGTGCCTTGCTGTAGACTTGGTTGTGTTATCAAATATGTGTATGGTACCCAGGGTACAATGCCTTTAATGACCTTGAAAGGTTAGAGTTCCCTTTGGTGTAGGATCACTATGTTTGCAAGGTGCCGCCTGGTTTAATGTTAGGCTCCCCTATCAACTAGGTTATTTATATCCTAGCAATGCAGTTTCACCTTTGACCGGTCAGTTACCAAAGCCTCAAATGTCTATCAATTGATCGCTGAACTAAATTAAAGCATGGACATGTTCCTCACACGACTGGTTTATACATATCTGGGTATGGGAAACAAGATAGAACATTGACAAATGAATCAAAGTATAACACAGGAAGTGCCCTCAGACTGGCCACCTTTTTCAGTTGTCGTCATTGCCGCCAGTCTCGCGAGATCTTCAAACGTCTCTGCGAGCAGCTCGCCTGTGATAGCCGAGCACTCAGCGTATCTATCGCAACGAAGTTCCTGCGCAATACGATAGCCCTAGAGAATCCAGTTAATCAATGAGGCAATTCAAGGTGCGAGGCTCCAGTTTATAGTCACTCACCTCTTGTGGGTAGATGATTCCCTCGCCTTCTCTCCGTAGGTCCCTTTTCAGGCCTATCATCATCACTGGAAGGCGCTCGCCATGGCCGTACTGGAAGTAACGAGTAATGTCATTTCGCCACTAGGCAAAAACATTGGGTTTCAGCACGAATTCACACTTACTCCGAATAATATGTGAGAATTACCTCTTTTAGTCCAGCAAGTGTGTCTCGATTGGAGATATCAAAGGCTAAAACAACCACATCAGGTCGAAGGCCTGTCCAATGCTGGTTTGGGTTAGATGTGTCGTAAAGTTCTAGAGTGAATGTCTTTTTTGAGAACCGGATGTCGTAAATGAAGGGTTGATCACCATCTCGTAATAGTTCAAGAGTATTCGGTTCATTATCAGATGGCCCTGATGGGGACGGTCTTCCACTCTTCAAGCGACTGGATGATATTAGCATGTCCCTATATATAGATCGTTTGGAAGACTGCAGATAACTGGGGTTCAGGGCCACGGTTCGTGGGACGACCAGGTACTCACGCTAAGAATGTTGATTTCCCACATCCTGCATCCCCGAGTAGAAGTAAAGAAACTGAGTTGTTACTGTCCGGGTGAGGATCTGCCTCAGCCATGCTGGCGTGGCCGTTGATTTTATTTATGTGCAACTGTCCAGGTATTGATCAACTTGTACCCTTCGGTTGGTCAATCAACGGTTATATTGCAGAAACTTGTCTCTGATAATCTATAATAATTTCACCACAATCTCATTTCAAAGAACAGTAGGTGTGTTTTAGGTTAAAGAGGCGATGAACTTGGGAGTTGAGGTTCGAGGCTTGGCAAATCCAGTGCGGTTGTCGATATATATATTGTTTCTATATCCCTAAACTTCATGACATTTCTACGACCTAACTATACTTATTAAATTCTATATTGACTAAATTGCTATGCAAAAAGGACACCGCAGTAAATTATTTCCAGTGAAATCATGATAGTACAACACTATACAATAAATACCCATAGTTGTGGTTATAGACTGGATGTAATTACACTACCATACACCGGTTAAATTCAAAAATACACCAAACAGCGCCTCCGGGGAACTTTTTCAATTTCGTGTCCCGCCGGTTGAATGTCCACACCTCTCCAATCTCAATCTCGGTCGCTTGACGTGGTATGTGGAAACGGTCTGCCAGGCTCTTTCCACTGAGTTGTAATCTCGAACAAGTCCTCAGGCAAACCCGGAGCCTGTGCCAATCACGCACTCTCACACCCCAAAATATGGCGGACACCAACATCAAGGACCAACCCGACTACTCGGCCTGGAGTAACTCCAGCCTGATAGCGCGCATAACAGAGTTAGAGCGACAGCTTCACTCCCAGACAACAGAATTCACAGCGCCGACTGAAGAGCCGTCGCAGGCCCCCCGCTCTTCTTCTGCGCCAATCCCCACCGACGTCCAGGAACCTGCAATCCCTCTCCCCGAGACCTTCAATCCTTCTAAGAAGCGACCACACTCTCCTCCAGATAGTGACACCACACCAGTGCCTGCGCCGACGCGGTTTGTCAAAACCCCGAAACCTCCAAAACCCGATCGCAGTTTCGACCCCTCCAAATACTCGACGCGGTTCATTGCGCTCAAGTTCGCATATCTGGGACAGGCATACAATGGGCTCGAACATACAAATGGCAATACTACGGCTCTGCCTACCGTCGAAGAGATTCTGTGGAAGGCTTTGAAACGTACACGCCTCATCTTCCCCGAGACTACCTCTGATATGGAGCCAACCGACATCAAGGAGCGCGTCCCTATGCGCCCCTACCACCTTTACTGGGATGGATGCGATTACTCTAAAGCAGGTCGTACGGATAAGGGCGTGAGCGCTTTTGGGCAGGTTATTGGACTGCGGGTCCGCAGTCAACGACCCATGCCCAAGCCCCCCGCCGAGGGCGAGGATGCGATGCTCGTTGACTCGGGATCTACTGAAAAGGAGTGGGATGATGTGGCCGATGAGATGAACTATATCAATGTTCTAAACAGGGTGCTTCCGGAAGACATCAGGGTTCTGGCGTGGTGTCCTAACCCGCCGCCTGGTTTCGATGCCCGCTTCTCCTGCCGTGAACGTCGATACAAGTACTTCTTCACCAACCCCGCCTTCTCTCCAACTCCTGGGTCCATTGGGTTCCAGAACCGTGCACAGAACGGTACAGGCCCGCGTTCTGAGTTCCGTGAGGGCTGGCTCGACATTGAAGCTATGCGCGAGGCAGCTAAGCATTTCGAAGGTCTGCATGATTTCCGGAATTTCTGCAAGTTGGACACCAACAAGCAGATTGATAATTTCGAACGCATTATCCACCACTCTAGTATCGAAGCCGTTAATCCCAAGGTCAACCCCGTGGGCTTTATTGGCCAACCTGGATTCCAGGCCAAAGAGGGTTGTGTACCCGAACGGGATTTGGTGACTCCAGACACGGTTTCTCAAAGTGTCCCTCAGGTTTACACGTTCAACCTTCACGGTTCTGCGTTCTTGTGGCACCAGGTGCGACACATGGTTGCAATTCTGTTCCTAGTCGGACAAGGACTCGAGTCCCCATCTATCGTCCCTGAACTGCTGGACATTGCCAAGAACCCGCGAAAGCCGACCTATGCGATGGCTGATGATGCTCCGCTGGTCCTTTGGGACTGCATTTTCCCCGACATAGAGTCTGGCAGTCGCCAGGATTCCTTGAACTGGGTCTATGCTGGTGATAGCCCTGCAAACGGCAGGGGAAGCGCCAAAGGTGATTGTAAGTTTGGGATGCGGGGCACCGTTGAAAGTTTGTGGGCCGTCTGGAGAAAGCGCAAGATAGATGAGATTCTGGCTGGTGCTTTGCTAGACTTGACCGTCAGCCAGGGTAACCGGAGCGTGGAAGACGTCGACAGCCAATGGCAAAACGCGGTGTATTCCAAGAGATCAAGCAGAGGTGCCAAGATCTGGTATGGTGGAAATGATACTATTGTTGGTGGGAAATATACCCCTGTCGATGAGAAGACCAAGATGCAGACCGTGGAAGTCCAAAATGCCAAAGGACTTCTCACAAAGCAGCGAAGACTAGCAAATACTGCGGCTGCAAGGGCGGCACTGGAATGAGCCACGTTGTATATACTTGCTGATAGAGCATTGAACCTCGGGTTTAAGCAATATAGGCTTTTGCACAAACAAAAAATTCTTGAGACAGAGGCTGTGGGTATATCATGACTTCGCGTCGTAAAGACACCGCCGAGAACCTCTCCAAACCTGCTCTAAGATCTCTCGCTTAGGCAACATATGCTGGTCACAAAGTTAGCCTTGAGTAAATAACGCTGAGGATATCACATACCGGGAAGACCACCAGGGCATCAAGCTCGCCTTCAACGATGACAGCTAAATAGAAGCGGACTTCGAAGCCCTTGAAGGCTTCGTGAATCACAATGTCCTGGATTTGCGTTGTAGGAATGAACCTCGTTGAGGCAGTTGAAAGATATGTCGAGGACGATGTTGAGGTCTGGATTCCGAAGCCTCGAATAACCAAGAGCGATTCCTCTGTCGGACAATCAGCCATGCACAGATCTAATAAAGCCAACCCTTCCTTCTTAACATACCGATATAACCTCTTCTGAAAACACCGTATATTACCAACGCACTAACCACAGCAATTGCTAGGGGGTTGTATGAATCCACCAAGCGACACAGTTTGGATCCGAGTGGGCTTGACCACACAGCTGGCCAGCTTATCACCCTCCCATCTTCTTGGAAGAAGAAATTCCGGACGCGCGCAATACCGACACCGATCACACAAAAAAACAAAACCGCACGCAGCAGTACTTGGAGACTGAATAGAATTTTTGCGGGGGAACTCGACCGCTGCGGTGCATTCGATACCGTGAAGGAGACGGTCGTCGGAGAGGGACGTTGAACTTCTAGTCGGCCTGGCATTTTGAGTATGGATGAGTCAGATAATGTTTTTTAAAAAAGCAAAAATGCCAGAGTCAATTGACAATTTGCATTGCAGCCTGCCTATTCTAGAGGTAGATCAAAAGTGCGGAGAGATTCAAACGTACTTTAGACAGGAGAGGAGCTCCTGATGTGGACAAACACACCAATCCTATTTTGGACTAGCTTACTCCACTGTCAACTGCATATCATCACGTGGCTCACAGCTTCATTTGGATTACATCTGGGCTTATCAGGCACCCACGCAACGCCATCTTTCCTCCATCCACAGTCATGGCCGACCGATCACGAAGCAGGTCTCCCCGTGCGAGAGAAAACCCAGATAGGGAGCGCCCCAGAAAGACGACCGGAGGCTTTCGGTGGAAGGACAAAAGCCGCACTGACGATTCCCGCGGCGATGATCGCAGATTAGAACGAGGATACCGAGACCGACCACGATCACCACGACGTGACCGAGAGGGCGACCGCTATGGAGATAGACCAAGAGAGGGTGACCGAAACCGGGCTCAGCAACGTGACGATCGAGATGCGCCGCGCGAAGACCCGGAAAGGAAAGTGAAGAAAGAAAAGAAAAGGCCCGTCGCTCCGCAATCCTCAGAACCTATGATTGTGGTCCATGTCAATGATCGTCTGGGAACCAAAGCCGCGATCCCCTGTCTTGCGTCAGATCCGATCAGTATGTCTTGCTTCTTATTGTTGATTGCCACCAGTGTGCTAACATTTTACGCAGAGCTATTCAAAGCCCAAGTGGCAGCTAGAATCGGTCGTGAACCCCACGAAATCCTTCTCAAACGCCAAGGCGAGCGCCCTTTCAAAGATCAACTTACACTGGAGGATTATGGAGTCAGTAATGGAGTTCAACTTGACTTGTGAGCCTTAACCCCGCATTTGGATACTGGGACTGGGATACTAACTCTATTACAGGGAGGTTGGAACGGGCGAATGACGGATTCCCGGAGCTACAGCCTTAGCCATCTTGCCAGCCCAACTTTACTCAGGTAAATTCCTTGAGATCTGTTTCAAATATTCCACCCGGATGGACAGGTCAATTTGTCGGAGGATATTTGTGGCTACCGTAACGACCATGAACTCCGCCAGCTAGCCGCCAGCACCTGGGCATTGATACTGGCTTACTACGCCCTCTTCTGTCTAAGGGTAGGAAGACCCCAGCCATCACGATATTCTCGTGTCGGCTTTTATGACTCAGTTATGAACCTCTTCCTCGATTTTTCACTAGCGAGTCGTAATAACTATGAAAGACTTCGTAGAAACTATTTAAGGCGGGATGGATATTGGTATGCTATTACGAAGATATAGAACTCTGATCACGAATTTCCCTCTGGCGAACTATCGGTATTTTATAGGCTGTTTGAATTATCCCGTTTGTCGCTAGCAGTTTCACGAGTGACGATGAAAGACAGCATACCTCTGGAGGTGTGGGTTAAATGGGGGCGGTAGGACGGCTGCATCACGATATATGAATCATCTTACATGGATTCAATTCTTATATATCTTTGTAATATTTGTAGTGTAGGTACAGTCGGCTCTTTTCCATGTGTAGCCAGTTGCCATGCGGGATTCGAATCCTTTGGATCACAGATTCAAAAGATCACTGCTGACCCTAAATTAGTTAACGCTAAAGGCAAAGCCATTAATAATCGCTGGGATTCTGGATAACTATACAAGTTTCTGTGTATGCTTCATTCTAGCTGCTCAGATCCAGCCAATAATTTAAGGATGAAATGGAATGCAGATGCAATTGGCTGAAATGTTCATCTATCAAACGCCAGTATATCTCCAGTATAAGAATCTAGACGCCAGGCGCCTCCAACACCTAAACGCTTAAACTCAACATATCAACATATCATGCCTGCCATCCTCTCGTGGGATGGCAATCCGGACACCCAAAAACAATTGGAACACCATTCCAGATCCAGACGTGCTCTACATCATGGGGTATCGCTCGCCGGGCTCTCAACTCAGCCGCCGCTGCAGAAAACCAGATATCTTGCACTGAACTATGCAAGTTTTGCGCAGATGCGCGCGCAAAAACAACCGAGTTCATGTGATCCTTTTCATACTTCGTCGTGTCATTATAGAAGTTGTACATAAAGTCCTTGCGTTGTGTCCGCTGGCTCCCGCCGTCCCCGATCTCAGCGGAGAAAAACTCAACGATCCGCACAAACGGCGCCAATGTGAGTAGCGAGCTGATCCACGAGTCGTCAATCTCGGCTTGTCCGTCTAAAGACATGGCGTAGCGTATGTATGAAACAAGTAAGTGCATACAATGGTGTGTCGCAACCAACGCCGCGGTGTTTGTGAAGGGAGGGCTTCGGAGGATCCGGATTTGTAGTTCGCGGTACATCCTCTGGCGTATCTCGAGTGGTAATGGTACAGGTAGATGGCCCGCCTCGTATTTTTGGACGAGCATGTTCGTATGCTCGCGTCGGGCGGACGCATATGATTCGAGGAAATAGAGTGTATAGTACCTGGTAGAGAAGAGGTCAGTTACTTGTTAGAGTAAAGTAATTCCCAGTTGTTCTTACATGAGTGGTGCAAGGTGGAACCGTATGCTTGCTATACCACGTTTGACAAGGGCATTGAGCTCGTTCCCCTTTGCGGGAAACGAGGCCTTCATGACGACCGGTTCGGTCTGGATAAATCGATCGAGGATTCGATCTGCCAGGTAATAGCAGAGCCTTGAGCAGAGCGTTTGCCTACGTCTCAGCCCATGCAAGTATTTGAAGGTATAGAGATGGCCGCCCCTGGCGCTTTTGGACGGTGGGAATAGGTCCGATAACAGCACGACATCGTCGCCGGGGTTTCGAGTATAAGTGCGATCATCGTCGATTGGGGATGGAAGGGTACCGTGGCGACGCAAGCGGAGATACTGTCGGACAATCTCATGCTCATTCCTGGTGAGCAGTTGGTAAAAAGCCTTGCAGACGAGTCTCAGCGGATGGAAGTCGGTGATGGCGGAATATGCGAATATGCGGATTTGAATCTCGACTGGAAGGTCCCATGGCGAGGAAGGGGGAATATCTGCATGGTAATTTCTGATAGAGAAGTGAGCCAGTGAATTTCCGCGTATTGTCGCAAAACAACCCACCTCACAGACGATCCTCGCTGGTCCTTGGCGCCCGCCTTTCTCCTGTTGTGGATCGCGGCCCGGACTTTTTGAACGGAGAGGGCCAATTTGGCAAAGCCAGTCATTCTTGAGCCCTGCAACACATGAATTGACTGGCTCCCAACGAGAGGCGCACTTTGCCGGGGCTCATGGAGATAAAACAGGTTGACTGAAGGGGGGCGATCTTAGCTAGGCTCCATAAATAGCATATGACTAAGCGATTGATGGTCCCGAGGTCCACTCCTGCGATCTCGAGGTCGGAATGTATTGAGAGGTCGAGTACGGAGTACGGAGTAGCATTATAACATCCAAGCGCTTAAATGTTGGTCTCTAGTGAGACATGCTAAGCTTGGCTCTCGTGTTGAATACGACCAGGATCAAAGACTAGACAAAATCTCCAAGAGTAACATCCAAGAATATGAAGGATCATAGGTCCAGCTAAATGTAGGCAATGATCTGATATGAGCATGATCACTATACGAAGTAAACATGTAATAATGTAAGACCTACCTCCAGGGCTTGTCCGCAACAAACTGCCCAGGTGGTCCGAAATAGACCCTGTAGCAATTACGTCATACATCAATGGCGTGCCCAAGGTAACTCTGGAGATATAAAGACTTCTCTCTACATTCATATCTTCAAGCATATCACTCCAACTTACAAAATGGCCAATATCCTCATTCTAGGTGCCACTCGAGGACTGGGTGCCTCTCTGCGGACACTGTACTCCAAAAAGCCAGCGACCAATGTGTTTGCAACCTCCAGATCCTCCAACCCAGAGCCAAGCCCAGGAGTCACTTGGCTGACAGGAATTGATATCTCCCAACCAGATGTGGGCCAAAAGCTTGTTTCGAAGCTTCCATCTAAGAAGATCTCAACAGTCATCGTCACCGCCGGATACTTTGGCTTTGAAACATTCGATGCTCCAGACTGGGAGAAGCAGGTTCAAATGTATACAACCTCTGCGATTGGTCCCGTCTTTGTGGTGCACAATCTCGTTAAAGCCGGGTTGTTGGACCAGGGGAGTAAGGTGATCCTTATCAGCAGCGAGAGCGGCAGCATCACTTTGCGCCACGAGAAGGAAGGTGGGGGTAACTTTGGCCACCATGCTAGTAAGGCTGCTTTGAATATGGTCGGAAAGCTTTTGAGTCTAGACTTGAAGCCGCAGGGAATTGCAGTTGGTCTGGTACATCCTGGATTCATGCGGACAGAGATGACGAGGAGTGTTGGATTCGATAAGTATTGGGATGCAGGTGGAGGTGAGTGACCAATGCACTACTCTTACAGGCCTTGTGAACTTCGGAATGTGTTGGACCTAACCTGATATCTCTCTGAAAACAGCCGTGACGCCGGATGAAGCAGCGAAAACACTTGCGTCTTTCATTGAAGAGTTCGATCTTAGCAAAACTGGAGAATTCTGGGCCCCAGGAGGACCAGGGTAAGATATTTGATTGTCTATTGTCAGAAACCAGACTAATATATCCATGACAGAGATATTGGCACCGCAGAGGCTGTTCTTGGGGAGAACCTGCCGACTCCTTTGCAACTTCCGTGGTAGAGAGTGAAAGGATGAATATGAGCTACCAGAGCCACAAGGATCGTTTTCTTGCTCAGATACCAAGTGCACACCAAATTCAGAGTAGCCGTTTCAATTAAATTACGGCTGCGCATGCGGTCTCGCACACATAAACACCAAATCCCTCCCCATATCCTTTCGCTCTTCACGCCCAACGACCTTCACTCCAAACATTTTTGCATAGAAAGCCTGCAGGCGCTCATCATCAGTGAGCAACATAATCCGACGTAGATACGGCATGTTCTCTTTGGAAAGGGTCTCGGCAACACAACCCACAAGCCATTTTCCAAGTCCACTGCCTTGGTACTCGGGAAGAACGTAGATATCCGACAGATAGGCAAATGAACAACCATCTGTGACCACCCGAGCAAGTCCAATCTGCTCAGTGTTCTCCGAAGACGGGATGGTAGAATCATTCACGGATTCCGCGGGTTGCGTCCACCTGTACACGCCGAAACTCAAGGCGCCGTGAAGCATCTGCCACAGTACCTCCTCTGGGAGGGGCTTTTTGACCCAGTAAACGAAGTCTCTATCGTATGCGGCATTGACTGCTTTTACAGAGAGTAGGCTTGGTTCGGTTGAGATGAAGAATTCGGGGCTAGTGTCTCGTTTCCATGTCTTAGGTGAATGTCCACCTGTTGGCGTGGTAGAGGACATGGCGGATGTGAAGCAGGTTGGATGTTGTTGTGCTGGGTTGTGGTTCAAAATATACGTAGTTGGGCTCTAAGAAATGAATGGTATCTTGAGACGAAGAAATTGTAGTCTGATTATCATTTGTCATGATCATGACACATCAGTCGTATAAGACGAGTATGCCACGATCTTTTCAACATTTAAACACCCCTGTTTCCTGAAGAAAAAATAAATAAAACAAAACAAAACAAAAATAAAACAAAACATCGAACATTAAAATTGCATGGCTTCGGGCCGAGAAGCCATTATTATACCAGCAACCACGCCCCGAAAGAGTGAAACAAACCAAAATTTATCTCGAGAACCCTCCCCTAGCCATTCTTTCCAAACTGCTCATAACTAACTGAGACCTCCTCCGTTCTTTCAATACCCGCAGCACCCCGAAGAATATTCTCATTGCTAGCATTCGCAGGGTTGTTATTCATGGCGGGGTGGTGAGTAGCACCCCGCTCCTCAACTGTCGGTTCAAGGCCGGATTTCGAAAAACGGCTCCTGTCTCGACCACTGCCATACAATGGCAATCTGTAGGAGGTATCACCCGAAGAGCCGCTCGTGCCATCCGGCCCGTATTTGAGGTGGATGTAGAGGGGACGGAGGACGGGGATGGTCGAACCCATGATCGTGACGCAGCTCTCGGTGGCAGACCAAATGAGCATTGGGACCGTATCATCTAGATGCCGGTCAGCTATAACGTCATGGAAGGAATATTCAAAGAACATACATATGTACTCGGATGCATTCAATCCTGCCAGGGCTTTGGTGCGGATGATGCCACATACTCCAGCGCTAGGGTATCTCGTCAGATTAATATTCAAAGAGTGGAGTATTTCTAGACTCACAATATTCCAAGACTGAGACCACAGGCAACGGTGATCTTTTCCTTCTGCTTCATGTTGAGATCCCAGACAATGAACCAGGGAAGAATCGCAAAGGAGAAGTCTGCGGCGACAAACCATGCTGCAAAACCTCAGGATTAGCATTCGGGTATACAAATTGAGGCAACCGGGCAACTTGATACTCACATCCAACAGTGTAACCAACCTTAGAAAAGTCGATCCAACAATGGCCTGGCGTAGTTGGGTTCCAAGATTTCTCAACTGGAATACACTGCACGATAACAGTAATGCTGGCGAAAAGCGTAATGAAAGCAGTGATTGCAAGACAAGCCCAGATAATCACCCTCTGGGTTCTACTCCGCACAATTCGAAGAAGAAACACGCCCACAGCAGCTTTGCCAACACCAATGACCATGATTCCAGCTACCTGGCTGAATAGCTCATACTTGACAGCTGTAAAATAGATGACAGGATCACCGACATCAGCGTATAGTTGCCCGACGCCGTAAACGGTTCCTTCCGTGACAAAGGCAGTGTAAATTATATGAAGAACCTGTAGTACGTTAGAAAGTGCATGACAAAGGTGGTATTGCGGTTTGTTATTCTCACCAGTGCAATCAGAACTAGATAATCATCCAGACCAACGGAGTTGAGAATGTGTTTTCGCGTATAGAGCCTGAGCCCTGCGAAGACCGCAAATATAACCGCCTCCACCCAGAGAACTGCATTGGTCATGGGCCCTAAGCCTCCGTAAACACCCATATTGAAGATAACGGGGGGCTTCAAGGTAAGGTAGAAGAATGAGTGGTAGAGACAACGTTCCAGACAACAAGGTCAGTATGGAATCTTTAGTTATCTTATGTGCTATACATTGAGATACATCAATTTCTTTCAACCGGGAGAAAAGGTACACGGAGAAAAGGTACACCACTACTTCAGCATTGCGCAATCTTGTCTCCTACCAATGATCCGCCGCAATAGTACACCATTGAGTTTTGAGCGCTGTCAAGTTCCATCAAGAACCCATACTAGGGTGGTATTGATATTGATCCTATAAACTTCAACACACCTACTAGAGCGTAAAAGGCATTATGAAGACGACGATCTTGTGAGCTACCTATGTAACGAGGAGCTTTTTGGGTTGTGGGCCATGAAGTATGAAATCGCGTTGAGTAACGGGCCCCGGGGAAAATCGAGCCACCCGTGCCGCCTCATGTTACTTTGCATCCCTGGTTTGATCTTGATTCTTATATTGTAAACCATAATCTTCTCCCGCAAGGGGAACAATATGATATATATACTCCGTACATTCAATCCAGGGTCTCCAGGGTCTTGAGGTATAACATTTGGTGGAGACCAATTAGTCACGCCAAGCCTTCAAGTGTACCAAGTCGTTGACTTTCTCTTCTTGATTCTCCCTCGACCCCACCATCATGATGGGCATACTATCACTGGAATTGTTGATCCAAATCGCTGCGCTACGGCAAAGTGATAAAGTTTAGTTCCATACACTTCTATGTATCGCTTCTAGCAGGCGGGTTTTAAAACTTTGATCTACACCGGCCTTGCCACATCTAGCAACGATGGACATGAAGAAGAGGGGCAACCTGGGATTTCTCTGTCACAATTTCGAGACTCATGTCCGATCGAGCTACAACAATATGGCGAAATGGATCCGTATGTTGTAAGCTAGATTCTGATATCCTCGTCCCCCTACGATCTCCTTGATTGGACCACACGCAAATCGTAGCGGAAATTATACTATAGACAACCCAATCAGGAAGGCCGATACCGAACGGGGATAGGGTGTATGAGAAGTAAGGATCTGAGAACACTTCTATCAGATTGTCGTTTGACTAGGCTACGCGCATAACGTATGCCCTGTTTGAAAGACCTGGAATTTGGAGTCGAGAAGACAGACCATTCGATGCGTTATACTGTGAAATTTCCGAGCTGGGCGGCCAATGAAGCAATTGGGCGTCTTGGTTGAGTTTGCTGAACACCATCTACCAAAATCGAATTATCGAAATGCGACTGATTTCCCGAGAGATCATCAGCGGTACAACAGTTGTATATTGATTCTACGAGATGTGTCCAGTGGCCATACAATTTAAGGTTTTGGACAGATCTGCGCTCTAACGCAACCCTTCGATTGAAAGTGACTGGCATTTCCCCGGCTATGTAGTATGTACTCCGTATATCAGTGGGGCGGCATATAACGATCCTTTCTAAATGTAGCTAAATGAGTGGGTATCGCTTCGAGAATGTAGGCTGTCAAAAATCTAATCAAGCATGGATTTAGACTGAGCATTGTACTGGTAAGTCCAAGCCCTGAAAACATAGTTAGCTTTGCGCATCTACCCTAACCAGGTAATCCGGATGAGAATTGACCTTGGCTAAGGAAAACCCCCTAGAGGTCATATCGCGACATTTAGTGTATTTCCAAAGGCTCCAATAGACATATAATAGAGCTGGGAGAACCGTCAGTCGATTGATTTTCTTATTATCCTATAAGGCTCCTACTAGTTTTTCCAAATATTCAAGTCCAGGCCAAAGTTGGAAGTGCAACATGCCATCTCAAACAGAAGTTATTGCAGCTGCAGATGCAGCCAAGCCTAAATGGTTTAGCCACAATGGCGCAAAGCACACCCAGGCTCATGCAGGAGATCTACGGCCATTTGAAACCGGCAGAATCATTGGCTCGCTTGACGCTATTGAACCTGGGGTGTTTGCCGGAAACGAAGTCGAACGTCTAAAGGTACGCGCTGCGGCACGTCGTCTACTGGCCAGAGTAGAAACACCATATGAACGTGCCTGGGGCTTCTGCTTCGAACAGCCTGTCGTCTTTGCCGCTCTACAGACATGCATCGACTTGGGTCTTTGGAAGTCCTGGACAGGGGTTGGTGGTGAGAAGTCTATCGACGAACTGGTCGCATTTACCACTCCCACTGTTGATACAAACCTGCTGCGTAAGCTCTCTCTTCATGATATTCATGTTCTTAACCCAGAAAGGCTTATAAAAATATGCAGGCCGATTGTTCCGTTTACTGGCTGCTTTCAACGTGGTTGAGGAGACAGGAGAAGACAGATTCAAACCGACCCCGTTCTCGAATGCCATCGGCGACGAGAGCACCAAGGTCCGCGCCTCACTTCAAGCAGCGTAAGAATACATGTATCCTCTGATGTTAATCCAGTGTCATACTAATATTTGCCGTTTCAGATCGAATCAATACCTTGCTGCTGGCCAAAGCCTGCCAGCTTATCTAGCAAAGATATCCTACAAAGAGCCCACGGATATCAATACGAATAACCACTCAGACAGTGACCCCGATGGTCTCAACTTCTTTGGGCGATTGCAGAAAACCCCCGCTTGCTTTGAGGCTTTCACTGGTCATATGGAGGCCTGGACGGCATGGAAGACTCCGTGGACTAAGGTATACGACACAACAAAGCTGCTGGAGGGTGCCAAACTGGACGATGGCTCTCCATTTGTGGTTGATGTTGGCGGAAACACTGGGATTGATATCTCTCACGTTCTTGCAAAACACCCAGACCTTCCTGCTGGGTCGCTAGTGTTGCAGGATCTCCCAGAAGTGATTGCCAACGCGCAGGTTGATAAGAAGATTACTGCTATGGTTCACGATTTCTTCTTACCTCAGCCGGTGAAAGGTAGGAAAAATTCCCAGTACAGATAATTGGAGATATTTACTAACAATCAAACCACAGGGAGTCGTGCATACTTTATGCACGCAGTTCTTCACGATTGGCCAGATGACAAGGCTGGCCAATTGCTTGTGAACACCAAAGGCGCTATGATCAAGGGATACTCCAAGTTGTTTATTTATGATATTGTTCTTCCACCAACGGGGGCGAGTATCAGTCAGGCTACCATGGATGTGGAGATGATGTCGCTGCTGTCAGCTGCCGAGCGAACACAAGGCACATGGACTAGGTTGTTGACTGATGCTGGGTTTAAAATTGTCAACTTTTGGCCTGATCCTCAGCAGTATGAGATGGTTATTGAGGCCGAGATTGCCTAGATTTCTTTTGCTCGGTGGGTTATTATTATTTACGAACTCTCTTTCAGTCCTACTTGAAAATTCATCCAGTTGGCACTGGTTATGTTTACCCCGTACGTATACTGTCTAAAAAGGTAATTACTTGACTTGGTGGGTGAGCCCTAGGAATGATTGATCAAAAAGAGTAAGAAAACTGTAGTATATGCGATGGTGAAGGTTGATACATGCCACTGTAGTACCAACATTATCAGCACATTGCTTTGGCTTAACCTCTTTCATTTGATTAGAGACATGCAAATACATTCAATCATAAAAGGAATATAAATTGGACTTCCAGAACTTCAAAGGCCATGTTGATTACCTTGACATGTGCAAGACAAGCAAGTCTTTGGAATATTCCCCAAGAGCTCTAATCGGCCGAGATATCAAATGGCGACATCCCAATTTCAAACAAGTGATACCCCAACATCTACTCCAACCAATGCACTCCGCAATGGCGTGGCGAGTGGAGAGGATGGTGTTCACGATAACCCCCTCGGCACGTCATCACGGACTGCAATGGTGTTAGTAACACCAAATCAGTCCCCAGAACATCACATATACCCGAATCCAACAGACCAAATGAAGCAACTTATCAGATTCGACGCGCAGGATTACAATTCGCATTAGGTGGCGTGTGAAACGTTTCACATGACGTGCAGGCGCGCGGAGGTGCAAGTTCATCTACAAGAATGACGGGATATCCAGCTCGGTGCGACAGCGGTTTCATGTTTATGCTGTGATCGTTTGAAGTCTTGTCACAAGAGACGAGAAAATAAAATCCCATCATGACTCTTGTGCAATCCCCCGAGGTGGCTCTTCCCTTGTCGAATATCGGGCCTACCTCGGAATCGATTAAGGGTCCTTCCGATCTCAGCAGATCCACCACTGTAACGGTGGATAGTGATATTAGCGGATTATCAGAGAAAAATGAGAATGTTCGATTTGAACTAGAGGAACACCCGGCTGATGTGGTGCGACCCATCAAGGTTGGTATTATCGGTGCGGGTCTTGCAGGGATCACCGCGGGCGTGTTGCTCCCTGCGAAACTGCCGGAACTTGATCTTCGAATCTATGATAAGAATGCCGATGTGGTATGTTAATGTTATGTTAATATCAATTGATGGGTTTTTTCGAAGCTAACTATGGTCTTAGGGAGGCACATGGTACATTTTCCATTCCGCTCTTGTCTTCATTGCTGTGGGTTCCTAATTCATATCAAACAGGTTCGAGAATACATACCCCGGTGTTCGTTGCGATATTCCTGCACATGTATACCAATCCAGCATCTCACCAAATACTCAATGGACGGAAGAATTCGCCCAGGGAGAGGAGATCAAACAATACTGGCAGGGTGTTGCACGAAAGCACAATGTGTACCAGTACCTTCGCGCAGGACAAAGAGTGCAGAAGGCCGAGTGGCAACCCGAGAAAGGAAAGTGGAATGTCACTGTTGAGCACGTGGATGGTTCGAAGGTAAGAAATGGTTGGTGTTGATCCTTGAGGCTCTATGCTCACATCAATACAACAGGTCTATGAGGAAGAGCTAGACGTGTTAATCAACGCCATTGGTCATTTCAATGCCTGGAAGCTACCCGACTATGAAGGAATCAACGATTACAAGGGAAAACTGTTCCACTCCTCTAACTGGGATCCAAGCATTGATCTGAAAGGCAAGCGAATTGCTCTTATCGGAAATGGTGCTTCCGGCTTGCAGGTCCTACCATCCATTCAACCATTTGCTAGCCACGTTGATCATTACGCTCGGAATCCAACTTGGATCGCAGATTCATTCAGTAGCGGAAGCGCGGGTGTCCGTCGACTAGAGGCAAACTTGTTCTCCGAGACACAGCTAGAGTCATGGAAAGATCCCAAGGCGTATCTGGAATACCGAAAGGATGTCGAAAAGGGGTATTTCCAGCGCTTTGGGGCGATCTTCAAAGATACACCGGAAAACGAGGAACTGCGTGAGAAATGGACCGCCCTGATGCTGCAGCGTATTGCAAGCAAGCCCGAATTGGCCGACAGGATCATCCCAGACTTCCCCCGGCGTGCCGTCGTCCAACACCAGGACCCGGATATCTAGAGGCTCTATCGAAGGAAAACGTCGACTATATCCAGACGCGCATCAAGCGATTCACCGAGAAAGGCATTGTGACCGAAGACGGCATGGAGCGAGAAGTAGACATCACAATCTGCGCAACAGGCGCCAACGTCGACCACGCCCCGCCGTTCTCCATCATCGCCGACGGAGTCGACCTAAAACAAGCCTGGAAACAAGACGGCAAATTCGGATTCCCGTACTCATACCTCGGCTTCGCAACACCCGGATTCCCCAACCTCCTTTGGCTCGCCGGCCCATACGCCTCGGGACATAGCGGGACAGTTCCCAACAATGTCGAGAACCAAGTGACATACATCGCGAAAGTGCTGCGCAAGATCCGCACGCAGGGAATCAAGTCGATCGTCCCGTCCAAGCAAGCGGCCGATGACTTCGTTGAGTACTGCGACCAGTTCTACCCGCGCACTGTGTGGTCGGCGAATTGTAGTTCGTGGTATAATGGTGGCAAGCCCGGGTCTCGGATTCATGGTCTCTTCCCCGGTAGTGCGTCGCATTCGAATTATGTTCGTCGAGACCCGCGTTGGGAAGATTGGGAGTATACCTATGTTAATCCAAGTGGGAATCGGTTTGCTTACTTTGGTAATGGTTGGACTACGAAAGAGTTGACTCCGGGGGCGGAGTTGACGCCTCATTTGAGATTGCCGGAGGAGATTAATTTGAAGACTCACATGGAGGGGTGGTGGGATGTTTAAGGGGGTTAGTAGACTGGATCATTACAATGAAAGATCGTATTTCCTATTTGGAGATACCTATATAGATGAATTATGTAGCGTTGGGCAATACTTCTTTTATTTTGACTGTTATGATCCAAATTTGCTACTAATTCGACTCCTCCAATGAATAAGGAGGCACCTCCTGACCCTCCTTCCAGAAGTATTTCGCGCCAGGATGCGCATCAGGGAGTCTGGACTGACCTTTCTTCCCATACATATTCTCGCGGAAAGTTCCACCCTTGACAGCATAGTCCGACCAGAACAGACCACGACGCTGCAACTCGGGCAGCAGCAAGCGAATAACATCATCAAAGGTATCAGGGAGACTAGCATAACTGAAATTGAACCCGTCAACATCGCCAACAGTCACCCATCGCTCCAGCTCATCGGCCACGGTCTTCACACTTCCAATAATCTTAACACCATTACCACCGAGCACCAAATACTCGGCAATAGTCTTCTTATCCCACTTCTGACCCTCAGTGCCAGGCACCGTACTAGCCCAGTGATTCACCATACTGCGAACAGCAGGAAGCTCCACAAAACGGAAGTCCTGATCATCAGAGTACGTTGACAAATCATATCCAGTCCAACCACCGAAAAGAGCAAGCGCGCCCTCCCGATCGCCATACGTCTTCAGCTCCTCAAACTTATCATTCGCTTCCTCGTCCGTCTCGGCAACAATCACCAACGCACCCGCGATAACCTTGATGTCCTGCGAATTCCGTCCAATCTCCGCAGCCTGTTGACGGATACTATCAACAGAAGGACGAACAAGCTCTGGCTTCTGCGCATGCAAAAACACAGCCTCGGCATGTTTCGCCGCAAACGCCTTACCCGCCGGCGAAGTACCGGCCTGCAAGATGAACGGCGTGCGCTGGGGACTCGGCTCACAGAGATGAGGACCAGGAACCTGGAAATATTTCCCCTTGTGATTGATTTCTCGAACAGCCTTTGGATCCGCATAACCCTGTGTCTTGCTCTCGGTGCCCTGTTTCCAGGACACGGCATCGTCTCTCCAAGAGGCCTCCCACAACTTGTAGGTGACGTCGAGATACTCGTCCGCGATGCGGTATCGCTCGTCATGCTCGACCTGTGTGTCAAGACCGAAGTTGCGAGCCGCGGAGTCGAGGTATGAGGTAACGATGTTCCAGCCGATGCGGCCATTGCTGAGATGGTCTACTGTTGAGAAACGTCTTGCCAGGGCGTAGGGGGAATCGTATGTTGTTGAGGCAGTTACGCCGAAACTGATTGATTCTGTAGCTGCTGCCATGGCGGGGACGCTGTAGAGGGGGTCGTTGATTGGGAATTGAGCGGCAGCGGGAATTGTTGGGGAGAGGTTTGAGGGACCTCTGTATACATCGTAGCCTCCCAGGACATCTGCGAAGAAGATGGCGTGGAATTTGGCATCTTCGAGCTTTTTGGCTAGAGCGATCCAGTGCTTGATGTTCTTGTAGTCGGCGCCTTGGTCTGTTGGGTGACGGAATAGACCTGGGTTTAGGTGACTTGGCGATTGCATTGCAAAGGCATTGATGATGAGTTGTTTCTTTTCGGAAGACATGGTGATGGATGTTTGTCTGGTTGAGAGGAGGGGATTTGAATTAATTTTTTACTTGTATACAATGGCTCTGGAGGGGTGGATTATACATATTTATTGTCCCTGCATACACAGTGTATCTATTGACCCCGCGACGCATTATTACCCTGAGATGCGCATGCGCAAAAAGACGTGCAGTTGGAGGCCGATGGCGTCAGCATGTGTGGGGTTGTACATAAATGACTATTGGGGTTTGAGAAGTTTGGGAACTTGATAGATCAATGCTATTTGACAACATATGTTGCACTTGTATGTTGTGCGTTTGTCGTCTCTCGGGCGAGTGAAGCATGGCTTATGGCGCGACTTGATCCCGTATAGGGATGAGGGACTTCCCTATACTTTCTTTCTGTATCTACTATTTTTTATCTTCTATGTTGTATGTGATGAATTCATGCTTGGTATTGATCGTAATCATGATAATGGTTAGTGATGTCTTCAAAATGTTGGTTCCACTTGATACTTTGAGTGATATATATCCCGGATTGGTACTTGAGATGAAGCTATTACCCGATTTGGTCAATACTTACAAATATACATAGTAGCATTAAAAGATCAAACCATTCGCCTTATTATTCAATCTATTCATACTAAAAAAGATGGTTACAGAATGTAAACCTTCCACCAACACCAACAGTAGATAGATAGAAACAAAAATAAGAACGACAAAAAAGAAGTGCATCATCCGTGAATCGAACACGGGCCTCGTCGATGGCAACGACGAATTCTACCACTAGACCAATGATGCTAGCTGATGTGAGATTGTCATATATTATGCATTATAAGTATATAAGTATATACTAATTATATTAGGACGGCCTGTAAAAGACCCATAGGGCGTATTAAAGTTAATATCAAATATCCACCAAACTGAGCCTCTTAGCACTGCCCTGACTTTCAGAGAGGTTTCTGGGCACTGCCTCCTGGGTCTTGGGGGGGCCAAAAATCATACAACACTATTGGTTCTCTCAGCTTCCAATATATATTCTACGTATTCGCTTTCGTTTTCGAGAGGGCTCCCACGGTCCTGACAGTTCATGTGATGGTCAATACAAGGCTTTTCCATGGCCACACTATCGATTCTATAGAATCCTTTGCCCTGCGCCTTGGAACTTTAGACATATGGGAACCTGATTAACTAACTATGTGTTGTTGTATTATCTAGTGCAAAAGTACGCCTATGACGATGCCCAGACATGTCCGATCGAAATGTGGTGATGTGATGTGAAGATGTAATGTAGAATGTAGGATTTAGGATTTAAGGAAATGAGAATGGAAGATTACCTTGCTACTACAATATATATGATTTCTAATCACTTGAAGTTATAGCCACTATCTTTGATACTGTATATCAACTGTTCTGGTGAGTTGGTCGATCTGCATAGACAGCCGCCCGACTAAAGACTCAGCCTTGGAATATATTATAGTCCAATCATATTCAATCCTGTTGGCAGGTGGTTCCACTGCGGAGAAGTGAAAGGGAAACCTTGGAATCCTGGAAGGAAGCTCTTGTTTACCGTTGGGAAACATTTAAAACCCTTTTGATGTTCCCCCTTCTTCTTTTTCTTCATCCCTTCCATATCAAAATCCCACCTTATATATCCAAATATTCAAATATCCAACAACCTCAAAACTACAATACTTCAAACCATGTCTGAAAACGGCGCAAGCACCAGCAAGGCTCCCGTCCATAATCGTGGAGTAGACCAATCTCTGGTCGATGTCCAGCCATTTCGCATGAGCGATCTGCAACCCAAATACGCCCACCAAATCAACCATGGTGACGATAACCCCGATGCGCATGGCTGGTATGCCGGGTTGAGTGAGTTGGGCCAATATCTACACACCCTGCGACTCTTGTTCTAACCATACCTCGTTTAGTCCACAGTCTGGGTGAATGTATCGGATTTTTCGGAGCTATCCCCTGTTGCATCTGCTGCCCAAATCCCTTCAAGCCCGTTGATCAAGGTGCAGTCGGTTTGATTTCGCGATTTGGACGGTTAGTGATCCCCCTCTCGGCCATTTCCATTTCCATCGAACATCACTCACTGACAATGATTATTATAGCTTCGAGCGATCGGTCGATCCTGGTCTGGTTAAAATTAACCCGCTCAGTGAACACATCATCACGGTTGATGTCAAGATCCAAATTGTCGAGGTACCCCGTCAGGTCTGTATGACCAAGGATAACGTCACCCTCAACCTGACCTCCGTCATCTACTACCAAGTGGTTTCTCCCCACAAGACCGCCTTCGGCATCACAAACGTGCGACAGGCCCTGATCGAGCGCACGCAGACCACCCTGCGCCACGTGATCGGCGCACGAGTGCTGCAAGACGTGATCGAGCGTCGTGAGGAAATCGCCCAGTCGACATCGGAGATCATTGAGGAAGTAGCAGCCGGATGGGGAGTGAAGGTCGAGTCGATGTTGATCAAGGACATCATCTTCAGCAATGACCTGCAAGACTCGCTCTCTATGGCGGCGCAGTCGAAGCGTATCGGTGAAAGCAAGGTTATTGCCGCGCGCGCCGAGGTCGAGTCCGCCAAGTTGATGCGCCAGGCCGCCGATATCCTGTCCTCCGCTCCGGCTATGCAGATCCGCTACCTCGAAGCGATGCAGGCTATGGCCAAGTCTGCCAACAGCAAGGTTATTTTCCTGCCTGGAGTGGCCCCGAATGTGACCCAGCAACTGGAGGCCGCTACTAATGCGGGAGAGGGCCCGAGCAACCACGGTGCCCCGACCAACAGCAATGACGGTGGGTTCCAGGGTGCGATCAACGCTCGCGTTGTCGAAGACATCTAGATGTGACCTGGATGCTTTCGGCTGTGTTGTCTCCTTTCCTCATTTAATGGGTCAATTTCTTGCATGAAGATATGACCCTTCCCTTTGTGATTTACCTTGCCCTTTCCGGAAAGTGGACCCCCTTGAAGTTGTTCCCCCAATAGCCCATTTGTCTACGGGGGATTTAATTGTTTTTGTATTATGGTTGGACATGATTGGATCCATGACGATACCCACCTTCGTTTGCTGCTGTTATCGCAGCCGTTTTAATGTCTCAATGACTGCGCATGTGCTTTACTTCTACTTATTTAGTGTAATGCAACCTTCACTCTATATTGCTCCAGATTTCCCTTTCTATCTGTTTCACCTAATATGCCCAGGACCAACCAGCAAGATAATGTACACCGTATAACAACAGGACTCATCATTTGACTGCTGATGCGGAGAACGTCCACCTTTTAACCACTTAGAATGACTCATGTCAAAAGGCTGAGAGTTTTTTAAATTAGTAAAAATCCACATAGAACCTAATATTCTCGTATTCAGGTTGTAATTTTTATTTTTATTTTTGAAAATATTGAAAGCTGCTATACTACGATATACTCTAGATGGCCGTTACCTTACTATGTATCCCATATCCTAACTCGTAGCCCTGATTTGTCCATGGCGTTTCTAAGGAGTTTCAGCTGCAGCCAAGACATCGTATCTTCCAGGGTAGCTTGGGTAGAATAAACGTGTTGTGAAGACGCTAGCATGTTAGTGGACATTGCGATGTCGATCTTGGATATTTTCGGTGGGGGATTTACTTTGGTAAGATAACTAGTTATTCAGCATTCTGAATGATTTTATATCCAGGTAATTCAGACTAAGTCAATTCCCCAAGACATTGAGAATGAATGCAAAATTTGACTTGACCAGGTTTAGGGGTAGTGCGAGAGGGTCCTGAATGAGAAACGAGTTGCGCAGCCCATGAGGGAAATTATAGCATCAGCACTAAGACCCTCCAGGGCTGTACCAAGAGAAGCTAAGATCAATTCGGAATTGGCGCTCAAAATATACAAGACAACCAAAATAAATCCCTTTCGATTTGGGGGCTGAAGATTGATTTTGCTTTTCCCTTCTGCAACATCCTATAGAGCTACCTCGGAGTCGCAGATACAGCTTCAAGATGACGTCTACTATACCGACATTGGTCGCAAGGGCGACGGTTGACTCGACAGAGATAACGACAATGCCGACGACAACGCTGGCCATGTCAAGTATCTTCACAGCCCCTGCTTCATGCTCGAGCTCATGGACATACGAACCACGGGCGGCAAACAATGTCTTAAATGGACTCTTATTGCAAAATGCCGTCGCGAACGACAATGCCGATCCCGCATGTTTCCCTTCTGGGTACAGTCAATATGGAAGAATTCGACCAACTCTCGTCTATAGCCCAGGCTATTGTCCAGGTGGATACACCTCAGCCGATTTAGTGATTCACAGTCCAGCAACCACTGCCATATGCTGTCCCTCGTAAGTGCAAAAACAAAGCCAATTCTAGTTTCCGACTCGGATATTGACCAAACCTAAGTGACTTCTCCTATATCGAGGAGCCAAGGGACTCCACAACGACATACGGCGGATGTGTAAGCGAATTTCCTAGTTCATCATCCACCATTGTCACCGTCCGGCAGGTCAGCCAGGAGAGCACACAGGTCAACGGCCCCGTCACGATGTGGGCGCAACCAATCCAAATCGAGCTGCAAGCTTCAGACAAAAGCCTATTCGTCTCCGCCACTACAACATCCGACACAACAACCTCAGACTCATCACCACAGACCGGCCCAGCATCTCCAAACCCAGCTACACCAAAACCGGCAAACCCCGCAGCCCCAGGCACGGGGACAGGAACAAGCGGCCTGTCAACAGGAGCGAGAATCGGCGTTGGCGTCGGTGTCGCCGCAGCAGGACTCATTATAATCGCCGCACTGGCATTTTGGCTATTCCGCCGGCGCCAGAACAAAGGAAAGAAGAGTCTGCAGGATACATCGTCACTTGGAGGGAGTCACCCAGAAGCTAGCGAGCTTGGTGGAAGCACTAAATTCGGTGCGAACCCATCATACAAAGGCCCGGGATATGGAACGCCGAGCGAGCTTGGTGGGAGTTCGCAGACGGGAACGTCTACCGTTGTGGCGAATACACGGACGGGTCCTTCTGAACTAGATGCGGCAAACCCCGGCCCGAAGTTCGTGCATGAACTTGGTGCTTAGGTTTTCTTGTCATTTTGCTTTCTCGTTTTGCGGAACAGAATTATACCTCACCTTCCCTCGCTCGGCTCCCGGTCTCTGCAATATTTGGTCGAAAGGAGCCGTGGAATTGAGACTAATGCTTGTAAATATGCACATGCTATTTCCATTGAAGGTCTTGAATGAAAATCAAGGCGGCGGCGATTTGAAGTCTCGGCTTGGGTTTGTTGACTCTTATATCAGTATATACAGTCTCACCTGCATGATGGGGCTTGTTTGGGGCTACATGGCTTCCATCGGATGTAAATATAGATCAGGTGCAGATATAATACATCATAATCAGCCTTCTCAGTTTTACAATTGCTTATTTTCCGTAGCTTTCGGCCTTGGCTCGTTTTGGTCGTAGGATTCCACTCATTCGGGGTACATACCTTAGTATCTGCTGAGAAGAAACCGTGTCATGCATTATATTATGGTTTAGACCGTCGAATCTAGTGCAAATAGAGTAGCAGGCTGCCCGGAATTAATTCGGGCTGCATGTTATGACCTGGCCTGGATATGCAGGCTACTATAAAATACTAGAGGTGTCTGCTGACCCCTATGATTAGCCTACCATATCACTTAGAACCAATTCGGCCTGGATATGTAGGCCACAATACAACACCAGAGGTAACCCACGTTAACTGTCATAATCTGGAGCCCCCCTGATTTATCCGTACCTCATATCCAACTTGTCATATATCATCCCCTCTGGTTTAATTGTTTTATAATCAGAGATCTTGCGCTATTCTTTTTTGATTACCCTTTACCATCTATCAACATCCATGATGATATTTACTACGACTAAAGAACAATGAAGTCAATCTACCAGCCAAATCCCCTCTTCCCCGTCCTAAGCATCCTCACCTTCATTCCGCTAGTAGCCTCGCTCTGCTACTACCACGATGGAACCGTCGCGTCAAATCCTATATATCAACCATGCATTTCCATCCAAGACACAATAGGCATGTGCTGTGCCAGTAACCGGTCAAACCCAGCTGGCGGAAGCAGCACCGACGGACTTACCTCGGACGAATGTCTTGCCAACGGGCTGTGCATGAATGTACTGACGTACAGAAACAGCGCCGGTGAATCGGGCACAAATACGACATACTGGCGCAATCAGTGTACGATTTCCGACTGGAAGAATAATGGATGTTTGAATGTGTGTACCAAGGGATCGGTATGTGTTTCTGATCTCAGGTTTTATATTGAAGAGATTATGGAAACCTTTCATGAATCTGCGAATGGGCATTTCGGCTGTATGGTAAGCTGATAATTGGGATCTGCTAGACACCAAGTGGTGGATCGGATTTCTCTGCTAAGATGACCTCTTGCGATGGCACTGCGAACTCGACGACCTGGTGTTGTGGGGATGATGGGAGCTGCTGCAATACTCCATCTGCAATTACGATAGCTCAGAAGCTGGGTGAACACACTTCTACCTCGACATCGCTTTTGATTTCAAGTCCAACATCTACTTCAACTTCAACTTCAACTTCGACTTCATCCTCATCCTCATCGTCTCAACTTTCAGGCGGTGTTATCGCCGGGATCACTGTCGGCAGCGTTTTTGGGGCTATTGCATTCCTGACTATTATTTATTTTTCGCTTGTGTGGTGGAAGAAGAAACGGATTCAGAGAGAGAATGAAGCAGAGGGATTGGCGATAATTCTTCGCCCCGGTTCTCGTCCTCAAGAGCTTGAGAATCATATCCAGACTGTTGGCGTTCGGAGTGTTGCACATGAGAAGGCAACTGGGCCCCAGGATATTAGGGCTGAGCTCCCAAGCGAGCCGTTGGGACGAACAGTGAATTAAAATATAATGAAGAAGTGAGATATATAGGAAAACATGTAACTATTGGTTGATCACTTTTGTTTACGCTGTGTAGATCTCAGGCCAAAAGCGGCCAGAAGCTATACCTAAAATAGCATGACACCATACCTAAAATGGAAATAGAAGGCGGTGGGGCGTGGAGATATCGATCCTCCCCGCGGAGGCCAGCTCTCTCTTCAGCATGAATTGACCCCGAGACAGATTGCCAAAGCTCTGAAGTCAGAGCTTCACAGAAATGGCATCACAAACATACAGCTCGTCAACTCGAGCCGGCATCAAACCGTCAAACCAACCCACTCCATCCCCTAGCTTCGCCGACCCGAACTTCGACCCAGCCGACTTCCTCAATGACTCTCTATCACCGCTGACTGTGGCATCCTCACAACCTAATGCATCTCGGGCACACGGATCTGTGCCACTGACAGAGCTCTCCGCACAGGTCCAGTCCCTCCTCTCCCAGATTAGCGCCCAAAACATCCGTCTCTCGAGCACATTATCCCAACTCACCGACGAAATCCTCCGAAGCGGTGGACGACTAGCCTATGAAGTCGAAGTCCTACGAGGCGAGACAATTGGGCTATCTGAAACCTTAACCGAAGTTCTACACGACGATATAACAAAATTCGTCCCGGAGCCTTCACCAGAAGACGGGCGCAAGACCGAACAAGTCGAAGAGGATACGCCAACAAACGAAGACGAGTCAACAGAAAGCCTAGACGACAAGAACAAACCCGTCGTCCCTACAGACCCAGAATACATAACGAACCTCCGCACACTGAACCAAGTGCGATCGCGTCTAGAAGATGTTGTCCAAACCTTCGGCGACGCAATGAGCTGGCCACTACCCCCATCCGAGATCTCATTCTCATCATCCTTCATCTCCGTCTCAGGACCAGACCTCGGACCCGAAGGCCAAGACCGCGAAGAAAAAGGCCAAGAAATGATGAAGAAGCTACGCAAAGAAGTGACCGAGCTACTCGATAGCGAGGGCGGAGGATACGCTGGACTAGATGCTGCCAACCGCCGCGTTGAAGCTCTTCGGACGCTGGCGACTGTGTGGAATGCATCAGCTGAGGAAAAAGCTCGGAACCGGTTCGTGGATAGCCTGGCGAATATTGTCGAGGATCGACGGCGTACCTTGGACCAGGCGGATCAGAACCAACGAGGACAGTCTAGGTCTAGGTCTGAGGCCCGGCAGGATAGTGACAGTGGGGCACCTGCTGGGGGACTTTTCCGGAATTTGCAGCGGTTGAGGGAGGAAATTTACTTGGAGTGAGATGATGGGATGTACATAGTACATCTTGGTTCTGGCATGTATGTTGAGCTGGTTCTCTACATGGAGACTTGGGCCTGATTGTATAGTATTTTGCATCCTTTACAGCCCTCGTATTTTCTGCAAACCAATATAAACCTGACGGTATACTGCCTTTCCAAGGTTGACTTTGGAAAGTCAAGAGACATCCATGGACATCTAGATATAAAATCAGATATTCTCATAAACCCTAAATATTCATAGTTATGATCTAGATGTTGAATAAACTGCAATTGTACAATAGAGCCGAGAGGTATACTCCATAGTTAACTAGTTAGTTATATGGAGCTTACATAGACGTTTAAGGGGCCCACGAGGTGACGAGGCGCGTGGCACCGGAAACGTTGCGCCGATCGCAGCCTCTCTCTTTTCCCCTCCGGGGTGATTGCGTATTTCCCGTTTCCCTTTTGATTTCTTTTGGTCCCTTTTGGTTCCTAACATCTTACAATGTTCCATATTGCTTTACCCAGTATTTGATTCGACTTTAATTTTTGCATGATGGCGTCGGAGGACGTGCCACTACACTTTCAAGATGCCAAGTCGACTCCGGTGCTGTGGCATGCCTTCAACCGTCGGTCACGGATAAACCGAGCTAAGACAATTGGCTTGTTAGTGATTGCATTGTTCTTCTTCTTTCTTATGCTACAGTCTTCTTCAACGGTAAGGATCGCTTCCTGCGCCACAGACATGACTGCCAGGCCTAAGATAAAGAAGCTAACAACCTGCCTAGCGAGTCGAACCGGACTTTTGGACCAAGTTTCCTTCTCGCCATCCTTTCCCTCAGCGCCCGGAAGATGCCCGGGTCCTCCTTCCTCCCCGCACTGATATAAATGTCAACGATACTCTCCCTCACGATCTGGACAAGCCCAACCCGCGCCTGCATGTCCTAGTCCCGGCCTCGCGGGGCTCACGGGGAGTCTGTCGAACGCTTACGTCGGCTATGATCCTTGGATACCCACCGCCAACATTAATCGGTTATGGGCATGACTCTCCCGGAGCGACCGAGGCCGAGCGTATGGTGGATAGGATCACGCGGGTGCGCAACTACCTGCGAGACAGCAAGATTGTGCATGACCGCGACTTCGTGCTGATGGTGGATGGCGCAGACAGCTTCTTCCAATTGCCACCGAAGGTTCTAGTGGAGCGGTTCCAGGCTATTATAAGGACGAACAACCGAAAACTGCGGGACAAGTTTGGGTTCGCGGAAGTGGCGGGCGAAAAGGCCGGGGCTGCACCTGAGATGGTACAGAAATACACCCAGCGTGTTCTTTTTGGCGCAAGCAAGATTTGCTTCCCCGGGTTGCGGGACGACCCCGGTTGTGTATCTGTCCCCGAATCAACTTTACCTCCGGATGTATATGGCTGGAAGACTGATGCCTACCCGGATGGATCTCTGAACCGACCCCGGTGGTTGAACCCGGGAGCGGTCATTGGCCAGGCTGCGGATCTGCGTCTGATCTACGATGAAGTCCTGCGGCTGGTTGAGTTTCGCTCGAACAAGTCTGGAGATTACCAGGCCCTGACACAGATGTACGGACGGCAAGAGGTGATCAGAGAACTGGAGCGGCGGCGAACAGCCAACAACTTCAAAGAGTTGCTTTACCGGATGGTGGGAATCTCGGATGCAGCGAACATCACCGGACTCACCCTCCGGCTGGAGACAGGTCACCGTTACGAGTACGGCATTGGCGTCGACTTCGAGTCTCAACTCTTCTTCAACCAGATCATGTCCCGCAAGGATGTCGAGTGGGTCAAATTCGGCAACATCACGAAGATGTCTGCGTTGCAGATGCAACACGGCGTCCCTCGCGAACACCGTATCCTCCTACCACCCGACATCGCAGCACTCCCCAATCCATTTGTCCAGTCCCGCTTCGCGAAAGAATCAACGCAGCGACCAGTGTGGAATGCCACACTAGACAAACTCCCGAACCCGCGCGAGCGCACCTGGCACAATATTTCGCTCATGACGAATGCCCACTCTGCCTCGGTTCCGGCAGTCGCCCATCTCAACGGTGACCCCAAGCTCCGTAATACCTGGTGGGAGAACATGTGGTTTTTCCCATGGGGACGCGCCCTACTGCGGAAATATGTCCGCGACTCACACGGGTTCGATGCGGCACAGTCGTCGCTGCTAGGCGGACAGGACTGGCTGGAGGTACGCGGAGGTCGAGGTGGGCTCTGGACCGACGACCACAACTGGGTCACTTTTGCTGAGGTCTGCAATGGCCAAGAAAGAGATCTCTTTGACGATGACCTGGGACCTTGGGCGAAGGAAGTTGATGACCCAGATGACCCGGTTTATAACCAGTATGGAAGTCTGATTGCTGGGAAGGAAGAGAAATCTGAGAAATTCGAGAAATTCGACTAAAGCTGGACTTTGGGTTGTTATTCTCTCCTATTACTCGCTATATCATTCATGGATGGGTCGCTGCCGGGTTGTTGAGACCGTCCGATCAAACCACCTGCTCCCGCACGTTTGAGTTCCAAGCTTATCAAGTTCTGGACCCTATGTGATGTTTGGAGCTTGGAAGGTTTATTGTCTTTTTGCATGACCGGCCTGGTTGGATAAACCACTATGATGGCGTGGCCGGATTCACAAAAGAATTCTGATTTATTCTTATGTCGAAGCTGGCGATTCTTTCGACTGTTATCAGGAATACCTGTACATTATCGGGATTGACTTTGTATGATACCATCATAGATGGAAGTTGGCGTATTTAGAAAGCAACGGAATGAACAAGTTGTCGCTCTCTCCTAGCAGATCATTCATTGTGTAGCACCTCTCGTGTCTCATTTGAACCGATAGGACTCTCCCTTATAGTAGACATGAAAGTAATTGAAGTCATTACCAATGTATTATCCATATATTAGGCATTTACCTAAGTTATCACAAAGGCATTAGTCGATAGAGCACATATCCCAGGAGTCCTGGATCTCCGTGATCTCAAATCCCTCTTGAATATGAGCCTGTCCATACTCTTTCGAGTGAGGAGACATCGCCGCGGCTTTTTCGAAGAAATAGACCAGCATGCCCAGGACCTTTTCATAGTCCCTATGACGAGCGGTCACAACACGCTCGCTCCACTAGTCACATATTAATGAGGCCGTTAACTACAATTGATAATATACATATATACTCACCTTGGAGTCCTGAGAAATTTTCAAGAACCAGAAAACTTGATCATCGGCTACTAAACCGTAGATCGTACAGTCCTTTCTCTTCAATTTCTGTCGACGTCTATGCACGCAGCCTTTAAACGAGTTAGAACCCTAATTTTTCGAATGACAGAAACAGTACACCATATGGCACTTACCCATACAAGCTAGGGTTTCGGCTAAGCTGAGTTGCACTTCCCCAGGTTTAGCTTCAACCACAACAGTATTCAACGCTAAATTCTTCCTATCACCGTACCAGATCCCATAGTCCGGTCTTCCAGTCAACGTGTACTTTCTCCCATCCCAACTCACAGGGCCGTATCCCCACGCTGTCTCGATCTTGATGCTGAATAACTGGACAGCATCAGGGAGACGAGATAGAACGACATCGCGAGCAAGAAAAAGGAGGGTAAGGGTAAGGGTACGAGGTGTTTCGAGTTTACGCGGAGAAGTTTCACGGTCAACTTTGGACAAAGTTTCTGCTGAGTAGAATTAGCCAAATGTGATTTGATATGATATGTTTGGGATTTACCAGACTGTGGGGGCATAGGAACTGGAGGCACAGTCTCAAGTTCATTGTCATTCACAACGTGTTCTAGATTGAGGATGAGCTGGATCTTTTTGAGGTTTAGAGAGGAGGCTGTGAGCATGTTCTTGGATTGGATTTCCTTGTCAAATGAAGAGGATAGGCATCTTAGCCGGGCCATGGTGTATAGTGAGCGACAGTAGTTATTCCTACAGATGAATAGGTTGATAAAAAATAGGCCTCAAATGTTGTGATGTACTCTCCTAAATAATGATCATATAATGACTACCTGATTCCTAAACTTGAAAGCTAGTTTCTCATCCACAACCCAAATGCCAAACGGGATATCAATTTATATACTCTAAGCTACCTGTAACTAACTAGGTAGTTAGTTATACTGTACCTTCAACATAGTACTTGTAAAATGAGAATGGATGACTAAATTAATGACTGGCAATATGGACCAATGAGAGAGTTAGGTGACGCTGATGTACTAATGCAGGGATGTAGGTAACGTCCTCAAGATCATCTTGACTCTACAAGTTACAAAGTGTAAACCCGGAAAAAGGATCTTGTTAATTTCGACGCTTGGTTTCGAAGAACTAGGGCAATATTATTTCATTACATCCATTACATCCATTACATCCATCGTGAGATCTGACCTGTGGAGACCCTGCCATGCTCTCCTTTCTTCGGACTTCCAAGCGCATACATAGACCACAAAGAGCTTATCTTTCCATAACCTGCCGAGGTAAGACAATCGAATCTGGGATTGCTCCCTTTACTTAAATCCCAAAAGGAAGATCAATCAGTCGTGAAGAGCTCTTCGCCTATACCAATGGCCGTTTCCTTGTTGACGAAAAGAACCAACTTGACCGACGATATGTGAATTTTGACCTGGACGCACTTTGCAGTACTGCTGCCACTGCTGGCGGCAAGTCATCTCCAATCACAGCCATTGAAAAAATGGAAGGCGGATTCAACAAAGTCCTTCGGATGCAAAAGGAGGATGGGACGGAAGTCATCGCCAAAATCCCGTGTCGCATTGCTGGACCTGCAGTCCTGACCACAGAATGCGAGGTTGGTGTCTTAGAATTCTGTACGTGATTCCCAGTAACATTGTAACGCTTCAACCACTAATAATAATAATCAATAGTAAGGAGACACACAAGTATCCCCGTTCCCCGGGTACTGTCCTGGTCTTCGGACGGTTCCAACGTCGTGGGAGTTGAGTATATCATCATGGAGAAAGCTCCAGGGGTCCAGCTTTTTCAGGTTTGGGAAAAGATGCCAAAGACAGAAAGGCCACCACTTATTAGAAGCCTAGCGAGGCTGGAGGCCCAGCTGTCAGCTATTCGATTTCCTGCATCTGGGGGACTTTATCTGCGGAAAAGGACGAACATTTTGAACTGCACACCTCTGGACAAGGATATCGATCCAACGGGTTCTTTCTGTATCGGTCCCTCCTGTGACCGCGCATACCAAACAGAGGGAATCGAAGATCCTGATATCTCAAATGTGCATGATACCGGGCCCTGTGAGTATAGTATTCTGTGATTTGACTAATAACACCAACTAAAAAAATCCTCCTAGGGAACACAATATCAGCCCTAGGGATCTCCATCGCAAACAGAGAGTTGTCTCGAATCTCCAACGGACATCTTGCAAATGATGCACGTTTCTACCATGGAAGTGTTGAAGAATGTACCCAACTTCTAGAAACCACGATACGTCTCATGACGCGATTGGATGCCAACATAATCCTTTCGCGGTCTTCTCAGCCAACACTCTGGCATACAGATTTACATATGGGAAATATTTACGTCTCGCCTGATGAACCCTCACGGATAGTATCTTTCATTGATTTACAAGGAATTCTAGTCTTACCAGCTTTTCTCCAGGCTCGGTGGCCAATATTCCTAAAGCCTTGGGAGGAGAGTGAATACGTGAGAGGTCCCGTACAAGTGAAGCTGCCAGATGACTTCGATCAATTAGACGAGGAAGCAAAAAGGGCTGCATTAAGCGAGTGGGAGCAAGATATGCTAGCGAAGACTTACGAGATCGCCACGTATCTCGAAAACAGACTGGCGTATACCGCCATGAATGTGCCGCGAGTTTTTCGAGAGCTATTTGTTCGTTGTGGCGAGATTTCGGAGATGGGTATTCTCCCACTTCGTGAATGTCTCATAGAGATATCTCAGAGCTGGTCGAACTTGGGGTTCTCAGGAGAATGTCCATTCTCCTTCACAGAAGAAGAGATCCAGATTCATGAGCGCCAATTCGCTAGTTATAAAGATTGGCACCAAGTCCAGGCCATTGCCCGGGAATGTTTGGATACCGATGCAGACGGCTGGATATCACCACAGTTGGATTTCGAGAACAAACGAAGCCTAAACAAGCAATTGCAGGACATGTACATTCGCCAATTTGCCGGCGAAAAAAACCCCCGAGGAAGTGAAAGCAACGTGGCCTTTCCCATTATGAAACTGCCGTGGATGTCTGAAGACGTAAAGTATACTGGTTTCTTTCTTGGTTCTTGATATAAAACATCTGTCATAAAACAACTTCCAACTTGGTCACCCTTTGACGTTCTCATAATCCGCCGTAAGGGTTTCCTTAATGATAGCCAAAACAGCCTTAACATCTTCATCAGAGAGTCTGAGCTCCCGCTCTTCAACAACACCGTCCATCAACACCACCGCAGTGTAATCCTCCTCCTCGCCCTCTTCACCTTCCGCCTCCCCATCCACTTCCATGACATGCTCTCCATTAGCACCTTCCTCCGCAGCTTCCTCGGCAGCTTCCTCAGTAGCAGGATTACCGCTCAATCCCACCCCAAGATTTAAGATCATAACGACCTCGGCTTTGGTCAGTCCGTAAGGTTGTAGACGGATCACCAAGTCCCGGAGGGCGGTGTCCATGGGCGTTGCTTCTGAGGAGGGGATTTGTGGTGGCAGAGAACTAGCATCTGTGTCTGTACTTGCTGAATTTGAGGTTCGCAGTGTGCCGGTCATTGCGGCTTGCGATTGTGATTTCGACTGGGAGGAGGAAGGGCGGGCTGTGTAGCGGGGGTATCGTAGGAGATGGGGAGAGAGACGGCTTGCATAGTTGTGAATCTGGGAGAGTTAGTCTGTTGTTTTTTTTTTTTTCTTCTATCGTTGGTGTCTCTTGGTGTCTGGTTTCGGAGTTTGGAGTCTGGTTGACTCCGCTTCATGCTGGGACATGTGGTGCTGTTTTACTAGGCCACAATAACCCGTGGGTAGATGACAAGGACCAGATAGGGGTTCTCACCTCTTTAACCACTGTATTATGGTCTCTGAGATCTGGGCTTGGTGCCCAGTTCCCCGAACTTGGCGGTGGTCGGCGGGGTGGATTGGAGGTCAGATAGGCCAGGACCTCGACATTGGTCAGGACTGCGGTTTGAGGGTCAATAACCTAGATCATTTTGTTAGTAGCAATCCAGAGATTCAATTAGAATAGATCTTACCTTCATTTTGTGTGTTGAATGTGGCAATATAGACCGGAGCAAATGAGTGACTGGATCGAAGAAAGGAAAATTGTTTGAACTGCCGGCAGAAATTGGGCGGTGTCTTTATCTACCTGCATATCTAGGGCCAAATCGAGTATACGAAGGCGAAACAACAAGATGAGACTAGAACATAGTTGATTGAGACTATAATTTGCAATACATGCGCCTACAGCTTTACCTTTACAATCAAGTACTGAAGTACTGAAGTATGAACAGATTATTCCAGCTAAAACTGTACTGCCTTGTTCCTAACGAGCACCCTCTGCGCCAGTGAAAGACCGGTAGATCAACCTCAAAATGCCCCAAAACATGCGAGCAACAGGAAGATTGCAACAAAAAAAAGAACAGAAATAAAAAAGTGTGATATCATACAGATCCCAGGAAAGCCATCCGGTCACATTGCACAAACTTTTGAAAACATACGCTTACTCTCCCTTGGACTTCTTCTTCTTCTTCTTCTCATCGTCGTCTTCGGAACGCTTGCGCTTCTTGCCATCGTCCTTGTCGGCCTTCTTGGAATCCTTCTTGGCATCCTTCTTGGACTTCTTCAAGTCCTTCTTGCTGACTGAAGTGGGGTTGCCTTCTTTATCGAAGGTAATCTCGCCACGCTCGAGCTTCCGCTCGTATCGCTTCACGCTGAGACCAGCCTTGGCAGCCATTTCCTCAATGTCGCTCTTCTTGGACTTCTTCTTGGGGGCCTCAGCCTCGGACTCATCAGAATCCTCACCCTCATCAGAGTTGGCATCAGCCATCTCCTCATCCTCAACCTCCTCGACGAGCTTCTTCTTCTCCTTCTTCTCCTTCTTAGACTTCGGGGCGGTGGCAGGTTCCTCGGAGGCCAGGGCATCGGCATCGGGGTTGTACTTGCGGGCTTCCTTCAGGTCGAACTTCTCGGCCTGAACACCGTTGGGGGCAATGGCCACACCACGGGGCTTAATGGGCTTGCCCTCCATACCAGCAAGCTTGCGCTCGAGGTTGAAGCGGGCCTCGGTACCGAGAGCAGCCTTGTCCTCTTCGGTGGCCTCGTCACCCCACTCAGCGAGGGAGTCGACACGGATACCCAGAGAGGCCTTGGCGGCGAGGATACGGGCCATCTTACCCTTGTTGCGGCCGGTGGCCTGGCCGATCAAAGAAGCGTGATAGATCAGACCGTACTTGGGAGTATCGTGCTTAGTCTTGAGGGCACGGAAAAGGGCCTTCTCGGCACCCAGAATCTGGATGGTACTGGCAGGGCTCTTGGACAAGCTGGTGAGGGAGCCAGCGTGGGCAATAAGACGGGCACCAACGAGGTCACCGACAAGGGCAGTCAGGTTGGGTGCGATGGCGTTCATGCGGGAAGTGAGGTAGCTGGCAAGCTGAGAGCGGTAGTCGTAGAAGCCAACGACCTGCTCAGCGAGAGCCTGGATGTTCTCCAGATCCTCGGGGCTGATCTCGGTACCCATGGAGCGATCGGCAGCAGCCTTGACGGCACCCTCGATCTCCTCGGGGAGGATCTCAGCAAGATCAGCGGACTCCCAGTTGGAGCGCATACCCATCTTCAGAACTAGCTTGGCGTAGGCAATGTTGTCGTTGAGGATCTTAGCCAGCTCGGGGAAGTGCCATCCGTACCATTCCTTGACACGCATAGCGTAGGTGTTCAGCTCCTTGTCAAGATCATCGAGAAGACCAATGGCCTGGACGATCATAGTGTCGATCTTGTCGGGGGAGAACTTGAGCTTGTGACGGGCGAGAGAGTGGGACAGACCAAGGGACATGGTGGACATATCACTGGGGGCAAGACCGGGAATGAGGGTGGTGAGGTGCTCACGGATGGCACGGAAGATGTCGTTGGTGCTGGAGTCAGCAATCAATTGGATGTCAAGACCGGGAAGCTTGCTGATGGAGTTTCCTATTCACAACCACAGTCAGCATACATACTCTGGGAAGAGATTTTACAAGATCGACCTACCAAGCTTGGTATCGGCAACGGCGAGAGACACCTTCTTCTCATCCTTGATTCCGTCAAGAAGCGAGGCCAGGGCGGGGGGTGACCTTGCCCTCCATGACGGAGGCAGCCTCCTCCAGAGCTGAGGCAGCGCTGTCAAACTTCTGGAAGCTCTTCAGCTTGAGACTAGAGGTTCTGTTAGTGACATTGTCGCCGATAACAATTTTTTTTTACGCCCGTTCAGCGAATCGGTCGATTCCCACTCGATTTTTTTTTTCCGGCAGGATTGGAAGACACAATTGACGTACAGGTTGGAGACACCCTCCGCAGTGGAGGCTTCCTCGGCGATATCATCACGCTTGAGGAGCTTCTTGTCCTTGGCCTTCAGCAGGGCATAGCCCGCGCTGGTCTCAGTAAGGATGAAAAGCGTCATGGTGCGCGGCCACGGCGTTTATAATCGAAAAATAACAGAAAAGAAGAAACTAGTCAAAGCGAACGATAAACCGAACCGAGGAAAGGGTGGGAAAAATAATTAGCGTAGGGCGTGTCGGCCACCGGTGTCGTTGGAGAAATTGAATCTAAATTTGCACGGAAGAAAAAAAGTTGAAAAGCGGGTGCCACGAGTGGCTTGGGCGTGTGGCTGAGTGCATGACTAAGCCCGATGCGTGTTCAAGACGGATGGAGCTACAGCTGTGTCTCTCCAATCATCTTCTCCACATTCACCATGGAGGGCCTATTCTTTAATGTTAACGGCGGGTATGTGGTCTATGTCTTTGCTTGGTCCAAATAGCTTGTTGTTGACTCTCTTAGATATGTCGAGGGCATTGTTCGCGGCTATCGGAACAGCCTGTTGAGCGGCCAGAACTATTCCAACCTCACTCAATGCGAGACAATTGATGGTACGTTTTATTGATCCCACTGGCTCCGTTGCAGATTCTACTACTGCATATTGATTCTGACAATCTCATCCAATAGATGTCAAGCTCCAGCTTGCTCCCTCATATGGCGATTTCCTTGCCTCTCTTTCCCCCAACCCCTCCACCTCCGATCTAGCGAGCCGTATGACCGATAAACTGGTGGCTGAGTTCAAGTACCTGATCGCACAAACGACAGGCTCCTCTGCCAAGTTCCTCGAGTACATGACATACGGATACATGATCGACAACATCGCCCTGTTGATCACAGGTACTCTGCATGAACGAGACACCCGGGAACTTTTGGAGCGATGCCACCCACTAGGATGGTTCGAGACACTCCCTGTACTGTGTGTTGCGACAAACATGGAGGAACTGTATAACTCGGTACTGATCGAGACCCCGCTGGCCGCCTACTTCAAAGGTAGTTTGAGCCACCAGGATCTGGACGAGCTGAACATCGAGATCGTTCGCAACACTCTTTACAAGAACTACTTGGAAGACTTCTACAACTTCATCAACACCCACCCAGACTTCAGTGGGACACCAACACAGGATGTCATGGCGGAGATTCTGCAGTTCGAGGCGGACCGCCGTTCTATCAATATTACTCTCAACTCCTTTGGCACCGAGCTGTCCAAGCCCGAGCGGAGGAAATTGTACCCGGAGTTCGGCAAGCTCTACCCGGAGGGCAGTCTCATGCTTTCCCGTGCAGAGGATGTCGAGGGTGTGGCCTTGGCTGTAAGCGCTGTGGCCGATTACAAGGCATTTTTCGATGCCGTGGGTATGAGCCAAGGCGGTGGTGGTCTCGGTGGTATGGGCGGGGGTCCGGCAGATGGCAAGAGTTTAGAGGATCTTTTTTATCAAAAGGAGATGGATATGTCAAAGCTGGTTTTCACCCGCCAATTCACCCCGGCTGTGGTGTACGCCTGGATGAAGTTGAAGGAGCAGGTAAGCCTCTTAGAACCAAGCCCACTATTTTTTGAGCATGAAACTAATATCGTCTAGGAAATCCGGAATGTTACCTGGATCTCGGAATGCATTGCTCAGAACCAGAAGGAGAGAATCGGAAACTTCATCTCCGTTTTCTAAGCTCGACTCGGGCCCTCTATGATTTTTTGTTTTCCCACCTCTTTGTACTTACCTTCCTGGCTGGTATTTTGCTTTGATTGCCAGCCGCTTTTCGTTGTATCGAGTACCCAGTTTGTTCTTTAACGTGAGCGCATCGACCTCTTTTTCCTTGATCGGAGAATCTGGTCGTCTTTGATTTCGGCAGTGTTGCGCATTTATTTTCGTATGAGGCGTTTGGTATGTGTTTGACCTTATCCTTATGACATAGAAGGACAAAATACACCGGAGATTTACATACACTTTGTTGATACAGGGGCTTTCCTATTTGGGATACTTTTATTGGCTCCAGATGGCTCAGTAGATCTCAGCACGGGTGTTTGGGTCACGTGTAGGCCTGCACCATGTGGCTCAGTCATTGGTACCTAGTTACCCACCTGTGGACTATATGTTGTACAATAAGACCGTGGACATAACCCGGCCAAGCTGAGACTCACTAATTCTGTACGTATAAAAGTGTATACCAGTCACGGGCCTTAAGCCTTCACAATTCCCACGACCTCCCCCAAAGAATCGACCATAAAATCCGGCTTCAATTCCTGACAAGCCTCCTGATCTCCGTACCCATACCGACACCAGCAAACCTTGCTCTTAATATTCGCGGCGAATTGAACATCCGCCACTGTATCACCCACCACAAGCACTTCCCCTGGATCAATCCCGTCCACCCCATATTTCTCCTTCAAGACAGGAACGAGAACATTCACAAAACTCGCAGGATCGGGCTTGCGCTTCGCCCCAGGTGTCTTATCGCCGATGGTTAAATCCTCAGGAACATAGCCATCCAGACCATTCCGTTCCAGCGCCGTTTTCACAGCGGCTACACCCTTGTTACTAACGATAGCGATGGGGATTTTGTGGGCATTGAGTTCGGTCAAGAGATCCTTGGCGCCGGGGAAGGCCTTGATGAGGAGTTGGCCGTGGGTAGCATACAGAGCACGGTATTTTTCAATCCATTCGTTCTCAACGGTCGTAGTGAATTCGGCCGGGGAGGGATGTAGGGCTTTGAAGGTATCTGCTAGGCCGGCGCCACTGGCGATCAGATGGTGGATTTCGGGTTGGGGAGGGGGGTGGGTGGGGAGGAGGGCATCGAAGGTGAGTTTTATGGTTTGAGAGATGGATTCGTGGGTATCGAAGAGGGTGCCGTCGAAGTCGAAGATTGCGAGGCTTATCATTTTCATGAGTTGTGTGTGTTTATTTCAATGCTGGGATGGTTGTCGTATATGAAGTTGGGCATATACGGGTGTAGAGGGGCTCGAGTAGAAGTAGATAGAGAGGATGAGACACTACCACAAATTAATCCTCAGTGGGTCTTTAGGGAAAAGGATCGGGGAAATGAGTTAGGATCCTCTAGTCAGGGATCTTACAGTAGCGTACATAGTTACGTGGCTCATGCCGCTAATGTGAAGTTACATTGAGATAGTGTACGGAGTAACTAGATATGAACTACATGGTTATAGTTAGGGATGATAATAGTCATAGTAATGGCTTTTCACCAGTTCAGTGCAGTAAGCCCTAGTTATACCAATATTCTAGGCTCTATAAATTGTCTCCACTAATTGTAAGCTGCAAAACTATGGGATCTGTATGTTCACAGTACCTAACTAGTTAGTTAGTTATACAAGCCGAGTACCTACATATGTCGCGGATAAGGTCTGGCACTCGAGACCTTTTCTTCTGAACTTTACTAAAACCGAGCACGTCCCTATGTACCAAGTCTCTCTATTATATTTCCGCCTATCTTTAAACTTTTTTTGCGATAGACAGTCCTGCAAGTACCGCTCTCGCCGCAATGAAGAAGAATACACTTGCTACCATCATTGCACCCGAAAATACCTGTAATCCCCAGTAGATCCCGTTTTGTCGGCTCAGGATTGCTCCGGCAATGGGACTTCCCGTGAGCGATGCAATACTGATGCAGGTAAATAAAACGCCCTGGCGAACACCGATCTTGGTCACGTCGGGCGAGATCTGGCCCAGCAGGGCGGGTACCATGCCCACAAATGCACCCGATGCAAATCCATACAACATGCTGAAGACAATATAGATGGCCGCACTGCCTGGGGAGAGAAGGGTACCTGGAAGCCAAAGGGCTAGGATGACGATGGCGGACAAGGAGCACATGGTGATCATGACGTTGAATCGGCCCAGCTTGTCTCCTAGGTAGCCTGGTAGAATTCGACCAGGGAGACTGCAGAATAGTTAGCTCAACCATGGCCTTCTCGTTCTAATATAAAATACTGAGTAGTACTAACCTGGCGGCATTGAGTATAGTCAACAAGTACCCAGCTAGGTCGGGGTTGACTCCGTCCTCCTGAGCCTCTATAACGATATAACTGATTGGCACAAACATGGCGAAGAATCCACAGCAGGATGCCAGCATGAGTAAGACAAACGGTACCTCCGAAAACGGACTCGTATAATCGCTCAGCTTCACTGGCCGCGGAACATTTCGTATTCTCGATCGGACAGTCAGGTTGGCAATGACCAGGAGTGCGAGGATGATAAATCCAGATATACGCAATGACCAGCCGAACCCGATACTAGGCAAGAGCCGAGACAGCATGGTGGGGAATACAACGCCACCTAGTGACGAGCCACTGGAAACGATTCCAAAGGCCAAGGCACGTCGTTTGTCGAACCATGTTGCAGTACAAGAGAGTGCGGACGAGAAGACGAAGCTTGCACCAAGAGGACTGCAGATTCCCTGGGCTAGCAAGAATTGATAGTACTCCGTCGATATGGAGGTCATCATAATACCAAAGACGTGAAGACATGTCCCAATAAGAAGAAGCCATTTTGGGCCATAATTATCAAATACCTGGAAGAAAGTTAATATGTGTACCTCCTAGGGTTGATAGGGCTATATTTACTCTTCCGATAACAATTCCGGCGGCAAAGAGTACAAATGGCTCCAAAGATAAAATCCAGGAGATACTGGACGCGGAATAAGAATGTAATTGGTTGTTCTGGTAGTACTCTTGGAAAATGCCAATAGCTGGGGTAAAGCATATCAGGCTATCGGTCGGCGTGGGAAATACAAGAAATAGCGAGGAATCTCACCATTCACCCAGCCAAAAGCGCAAAATAGACAGCACCATGCTCCAAAGACGACTGTCCAAGCGCGAAGCCCTTGATCCAACTGTCCAAAATGTTCCTCCTCGCTGCCAGAGACAGCCACCGTAGTTTTGGATTCCGTGGTTGCCATGTCTAGAACGAATCTAGATGTTGAGACAAGGTCTCGAGCAGAAAGGAGGAAAAAATGATAAAAGATGGATTCTAAAGGAAGAAGCTATCTCAGAGCTAAAAATTCTCTATCTACCTTCTGCCCCAGAGCCCTCTAGGGCTGTAAGTATGTGACCCCCCGATAACCAGTACTGAGTCATTCATATCAACACGAGTGATGGATGGCATTTTCCACCTGTAGCATAACTACGACAATAATGCGGTGAACGTACTTCAAAGGAGAGAAAACAAAATCAAGCACTTCTTTCCAACCTGGGGAGGTTTCCAAGGACAAATGATTCCTTTTTCCAAGGCACTGGGAAAGATATAGCTTGGAATTAATTACGGAGTCCGGATCTGGTGAGACGCTTCACACCATGGCGGGGATCAGCATCCTTCGGCTGCAATAAAATGGCCATTCGGCAATCGTCTATTTGCCTAGTGTTGTAGGGTTATAATGTGTACACGTACTCTTTTTTAGTTAGTTAGAGAATTTTACCATTGTGAATTTACCAGTACGTTCGCCATACCTCGACTTTCCGTACATCAGAACGGGACGCCTCACCGTTCGGCGTCCCACTAGAGAAATGGTATCCACCTTTTGGAAGGATCGCTCGGAATTCGAGTGCAAATGGATCAGAAGAACTGAACCAATGACCAATCGCGGGATGAAGGGCTAGATATATTATGTGTCGGACGGCTCAAGCTTCAAGCTTGTGTGAGCTTGTATGGCAATATCTCAATATCTCCCCGGTAAAGAGAACACTGCAGGTCCGTTAAGCAGGAGAGCCTGACTGCAAGATTATAAAAAGGGAGGAGGAACCGCAGATGGGACCCTTCGTGTTCAACTCAATCAACGTGTTTTGTATGGCCGTCTGATCAAACGAAACGACTACATATTTCCTTCCCTTTTTACCTATCCCAGTGCAAACAAGACACAGTCTTGTTAGTGAACAACTACAGTTGGTTTTATTGGCAATCTTTAAAGATCTTTACGATGTTTTCGAGATTTGCGATCCTATTGGTAACAATACCAACTCTAGTATGGGGCCTCGATCAAACTACATGCAACCGAAACGTGGGGCGACTCAATTCGATTGCGTATCTCGTAATCCCGTACAATGGCTGTGTTGCATGTGTGAATGTTGAGCTGGCCGGCGGACTGAAGCCAGAGATCAGTATCAATCCTGATGCAGCGAATGTTTGGATGTTCAAAGGATGTTTCTCTAAATCGTTGGGTATCACTAGCCCCTGTGGTGATGCTTATGGCTATGCATTGGGCGCAGGAAGTCTATTCTTCGACACAGACCAGCATGTTCATCATCTGAAGACATCGCAGTCGCCGCGCAGACGGTTCTTTATGATTTGCAGGACAATGGACACCAGGCAGGAAACAAAATTGATGCTTTTCAGCGTTCTTATCAAAGGCTATTCTTAGAAAAGTCTTCTCTAAATATATCTAAAAAGACTCTCGTTTTGTATAGGTCGAAAAGCTTCATTTCTATACCGCATTCAATTCTTATATATCTTTGTAATATTTGCAATGTACAGACTCGAAAGATCTCTGCTGATCCTAAATTAACGTTAAAAGCAAAGCGATCAATTGCTGGGATCCCGGATATACAAGTTTCTGCGCATGCTCCATTCAAACAGTTCAGATTCTGCCAATCGCTTAATAGTTAGTGCTGATGTGGAAGACAGGTAAGTCCTTCAATAATAGCCCACCAGTGACGGGCCACAGGGACATGTGGCATCAAGGGAACTATTAACTAGTTGGTTAGTTTCTTGTTTCGGCATCAATCTATGACACGGCTCAAGTGATTAGTTCTGGTAGCAGGAACTCCATGTTGCTCTCCCAAATGTTTCGTAAAAGAAGGTAGGTGACTGCACTCTTTTGATGCTTATGGGTCCATGAAGTCATGTACTCCGAATGCAACAACTGAGCACTGAGCACCAAAATAGAAAAGGAAAAGGTTCGAGGGCCAGATATTATCCGGTGTAATATGCAAGGATTGAGAAATCGTGATCAATCAAGCACAGACCGGCATGCATGGGCTTCAATATCGGAAAGTATTGCGTCTCCCCGACGTACACAGATCAGCCACATTGATAGTCTAGCCCAAGACCGGCGACTACATGCATGTTGAAAATGAAATTCTCAATTTCGATTCAACGGTCACTGCTCATATGTGCAGATGGCAAAGGGTGTGGCAGAGATAGTATGACAGGGAAATCCGAAACAAAAATAAGATAAAGCCAGCCAAGGCCAGATAAGAGCAAGCGTAACAAAAGAAATCACAGAAAATACCAGATTCAAATCCAGCGTACCAAGTCTACTGCGAACCTGGATCTATGGCAAAGGGAATGGAGGTTGAGGATGTCGTAGAGCAAACATAGAAATTTTAGGATATCGGAAAAAATGAAAAAAAAAAAAAAAAGAGTTTACGCAGCGATCAATCATACTGGAAGAGAACACTGATACTTTCACCGTGGTGAACACGGCGGATAGCCTAGGTATAAGTCAGTATACTATGTGGAATAACCCGGACGAATGGGACTCACCTCGCCGAAAACGTGGCCCACTTCCAGGACCTCCAGCTTCGGGCAGCGGCGCAAGTGTTCGACTTGGTCCACACTGTTGGTCACAACGACCTTGTCGAGAGCACTAGCGTTGATGCGCTCGATGGCGTCGCCACTCAGAATACCATGAGTGAGAAGGGCATATACCTGAGATGCGCCTTCCTTCTTGAGCAACTTGGCAGCGCGAGTAATGGTATTCGAGGTGTCCGCCAGATCATCAATCAGAATTGTTATCCGATCACGGACATCACCAACCAACATCATGGTGGCATTCTGGCGGTCAGTGATTTTGGTGGGGCGGCGCTCCTATGAGATTGTTAGATAATTACAGGGAAATCCAAGCGCTCAATAAGCCTACCTTGTGGATAAGGGCAAACTCCATGCCCATTTGGTCAGCAATAGCCGTGGCGCGCTTGGCACCTCCGGCATCGGGGCTGACAATGACAGCCTGCTTGTAATTTGGGATGTTGCGCTGAATGTAGCTCTTCAGTAGAGGTCGGCCGTAAAGGTTGTCAACGGGGATATCAAAGAATCCCTGGTACTGTGGGTCGTGCAAATCCATGGTGATGATGTGATCGGCGCCGGCACAGGTAAGGAGGTCTGCCACCAGGGTGCCGGCCTGTGCAACCCACTGTTTGTAACCAGGACGCGGTTGGAAGGAATTGATCTTGGAAGTGCTGCTCGCTGCCTCGTCGGTGCCGTTGGTCAGGGACTTGAGGGAATCCGTTGTGTCGCTGCGGGGCAGACCGTTGCCCCGCCGCTTCACAGGGCTGCCAGTGCTCTCCTCAATCTGAGCCTTGGCAAGGCCCTTCTGGAGGCTTTCCATTCCATTCATCAAGCCCAGGCCTTCAGTTTTTCCACCCGGAGCCGGAGTCGGAGGGGTGCTCTCAAATGTATATCCATTGGCGGATTTACCCCCCCACGGATGCTTTGACTAGAGGAGCGCCGGCCTTGTCATAAGGAATGTCACTCTGGCGGGAGTAAGGGAAAAGAGGGAGGACAGCGGTGACTCGCCGGGCTGAGGCGGTTTTGCAGGCGGAAATGGTGATGAGAAGCTCTAGGAGGTGGTCGTTGACTTTACCGCCGCCGGATTGAATAATGTAGACATCCTTTTCACGGACGGACTCTTGGATTTCAACTCGAGTCTCACCCACAGCGAATTTTGAGAGCAGAACCTCCGCGGGAGGAATGCCGAGAACACCGCAGATGCTTTGAGTCAACTGAGGGTGGGAGTTGCCTCCGATAACGACAAGATTGCGGACCATAGTGTTTTTATTTGCGGGTATGTCGCCGGGATTGGAAGGAGGAAGGGTCGAAGAGAAGGGCTCTGGATCTGAAGGAAATCAGGTTCGGAGAGATCGTGTGGAGGGGGAGGAAAATATGGGGGACGATCTCAGTGAGCAGTCAAGGGAGTAAAGAATGAGAGAGAAGAAAAGTGTAGAGATTCTTAATATTGAAGAGAACAAATGCTACCTCATGGCGGAGTAAGAATCGAGACTTCGAGGGACAAAAGATATAGAACAAAAAAAAAAAAAAAAAAGAAATCCGATGTGAGTCCCGCGATGGGGAAAAAGCCTCTTTGGAGTGGAGCGGACCTGTGGCTGCTGCCTCAGGTGGCAAATGTACCGGATCGGGTAAAGCGTATGTCGTGACAATGCCGGCCCGGCCGCTACACACCTAATCAGATCTGGGTTTCTCTTCTGGCAGTCTAGGCCAGGCACGTTGTTCTACCTTGCTGTATATAGGATGCAAATCTGAGGCTAGCAGTGAAAGTCGACTGACCGAGAGTAGATCACCGATGTTGGTACTTCCATCCTTTGACAGTGCTAAGCCGCCTGTCTCTCCTAGATCCCGTATGAGTTTCCCGATCTTTTCTACCCTTGTATGCAAGATATTACCAATGGCAGCATGCAACTGTAAGTACCGATGTTCGGGGATGGCAGTCAGGGTCATTGCTAGTCAGTATCACAATCCCGACGCGGGGTAAGAAGGACGTATAAGCATATCCGAAGCGTGGAAAGGACTAGGGGATTAGGGGTCGGAATGGCCTCAAGAACAAAGTGAAAGTGGCCAAACTCTTCATAAAGTGGGGTGATCATCGCCATCATATTCATATTATTCTCACGGTGCACATCTTCAGGTGATATATCGAGGGTGTGTGGCGCTGAGGGCTAGGAAGTAACGAGAAATATTAGCCCACACCTTAGAGGTATGCTGTCTTCCATTGTCACTTGTAAAATTTCCAAGGGCAGATGGGATAATATGAACAGCATGTAAAATGCCGCTTCGTTCGCCAGAGGGAAATTCGTGACCGGAGCTCTAGATCTTCGTAATAGCACACCGATATGCATCACACCTGGAATAGTCTCTCCGAAGGCTTTCTTGGACATCGCGACTTGCTGGTGAAAATTTGAGGAAGAGGTTCTCAACTGAATCATAAAAGCCGACATGGGGGATGGTGTGATGGCTGGCGTCTTCCCACCCTTAGACAGAAGAGGGAGTGGCAAGCCAGTATCAATACTGGCGGCTAGCTGGCAGAGTTCGTTATCGGTACGACAGCCACAAACATTCTCCTACAAATTGACCTGTCCATCCGGGGAGAAGTATTTAAAACAGGTCTCAAGGAATTTGTTTGTATCGTGATCGGTGTTTAGCCCTTGACAGCTTGCGAGGGTAGCTTCTAAGGGGAAATTTGCTTGGGCAAAAGTAGAGAAGCCGGCAGACAAACAGCAGGGCTAAGCCTCATCGGATTGTGACATTATGGGCGAGTAGGGGCATAGGACCTTATGATATCACAGTCGTGGATAGTAGGGCCAGGAAAAGGCGGTGAGACTCGTCAGAATATCCACACGAGCCTTACATGTTTGCTTTGTTTGCAACCCGCACGCGTCGCTATGTACATCGCCAACTATCAGTCTTTCTCGACGACGATATGCTTCAATTGTAGCATGAGAATTAGCCGAGTTTATTCTAAACTCACAAATTGGCTGTCATGGAACAAGCAGACCAACAACAGTTGTTCAATACTTCTTGGACCATCCACCGTCTCTCTCCTCTCCATCATGGAAATGACTGTGAAACACTCCTAGATAACCAGGTCGCCTTGAAGACATACGCAACGCGTCTACGCGACCATCTCGCAGGAGGTGTCCTCGCTGGTATTCATACAAGTACTAGTGCAGCAGACGACGACGCGCTCTCCAAAACAGGTGCCCTAAAAGATTGTCTATGGCGGCCAATCTCTCCTCAATCATTGCGTGACGAAGCGCCAAGCAGATCCCAGAATACCACATTTCCTGGAATTCTAGTAACACTGGAATATGAAAACATCGTCTACAAAGCAGTTTTGCTCGCAGACACAAAATCTTCCACAGACCAGCGCACGGGATCCACATCTCTCCCTCTCCTCCTAACCAGATTCCCAACTGCGCTCCGCCAAACTTTCATCACTTTCTTATCTACCAATTTCGATACTTACTGCTCGCCCCTACGACTGCCGTCCAGCTTTCTCTGTGCGGGTCTAGAGACGTACATCGATACATTGCGCACTCAACGGCCAAGAACAAGCGACACAGTCGATGATTTTATCAAAGAGTTACAGCTCACGCTCTCCTTTTCATCATCGATCGCACCAGCTCTGAGGTCCCTAAACGTCAGCGTCGCGCGCGCTTCACTAGCGGGCTTCTTCCGCGATAAGCCTGGACAGTCAGGGCCGAGGTCGCGCAGTCTTCAGCATAAACTACGCAGCCCTTTCATTGCCAATCTTACTTCATACCTGGAGACGCATCTTGCCATGAAGCTAGATCTAGATGGGTCGTCTTCGGACCAGGCTTCTAAACAGCATGTGCGGCTATCGAAGATTGCCTGTGCTGCTTTCGTTTTGGGCGGCGAAGGACGTGTGAAGCTGGTTGTGGCTGCTGATAGGGATGTCGGGGGTGGGGATGAGGGGGCCCGAGTTCGAGGTGATAAGAATGAACTTGCTTTGGAGGCAGGGGAATCGCTTCTGCGGTCAGTGATCCGAAAGGCTGTTGTAGAGGAGCATTCGACTACATGAACATCTGGATAGTTTTCTGTGCCAGTGTGAAACTGGGACATTATCTTCGGAGCTCACCGGGCAGGTGCAAACCCATCAACGTGACCTGCCTCGATCCACGAAGCCCATAGCTTTGCTCTTGGGTCTATTCAATCCACTGTACTCGTGGCCAATACACGACTGCGCAACGAAGTGCAAACCAGGGCAGCTAAATTACAACTGCTAAGGTCATGCCTTGACCCAATGTTTCATCACTGTGGTACTGCAACGCTGGCCTTCATTTCGAAGATGGCACATCCGGGAGACCTGATCGTGGTGCATAGCAAAGCATAAGGATTTACTTCAGCTCCATTGAACCCAAGGAAACCAATGCTCGTTACTGGAAGGAATAATTGACCATGTTCTCTGTCTCCTCGCAAAATGTTGCACTATGACAATAAGTCAAGTAGCACCATATCTTTTATTATCTTTAGATGGCAAAAATGCAACATATCCGTACAAGATATCCACACCATATCCAAACACACACCAATTTTAGCAAGATATACATACACTATATCTCCTGCGTCTGATTCTCAGATTCCGCCAACCGTAGCGCCTCATCAACGCTGGGCACGAAATGGGTCAATCCACCACTCGCCTCAACAATACCACTCCGCTCAAACATGCGGAACACACTCCTATTCGGCAAGCGGCAGAAGAACACTCTGACGCATTGCTCTGCGTACGCATGCACAATCTCAGAGAGAACCTGGGTACCAGACCCATCGATACTCGTAACGCCGTGAACATCGAAAATGATATTTTTGTTATGCTCTGGGGCGCGCATGCGCGGCAAAGAAGGATGAGCATGAGTGGATCCGTAGAGTTCCAGACGTCGCAGACGGTTCTTGAGATCGCCTGTGTTGGCAAAGGTGAGCGGTTCGGGGATCTTGACGATCAGGGCGCCTTCAACTAGTTCCACGTTTTCTGGGTGGAGTTCGGCATTATCAAAACGTGCGTCTGTGCCGAGGACCTTGCCCATGATCTGGATTCGGGGAGCCGTTGCGTGTCGGATGAGGATTATCACTGATAGGCCTATTCCCATCGCCATGCCTAGTTCCAGGGAGTAGAAAATAGTTGCTGTGAAGATGAGGAGCATGAGGACGAGCTCTGACCAGCCCCGCAGGTGGAAGAAGAAGATTAGATCATGTGGGCATTCTTCAACTAGAGTGAAGGCTACCACCGATATCATGGAGCACAGAACTGCTTTCTATTGGGGGATTGGCATGGTCAGCACATGGGAAAAGCCATACCGGTCTAGTATAGGTTGGAGAGGGACGAACCGGGAGGTAGTAGAGATAAGGCAAAAGCACCAAGACACATGTGAATGTGATAATGCTCACAAAAACACTAGTCATAGGTGATCGTGCTCCTGTCTGTGAGCTAAGCTTGCTTCGCCCGTATCCACCAAATGCAGGAAGAGCCGAGAAGCAACCTCCGATGACATTGGCAACGCCTAGTGCAACCATCTCACGATTGGCACTCATATGCATTCCCTTGATTCCAGAGGAACTGCCTTCGCCCAGCCCCTTGGCCGCAACAGATGACTCAAAGAAGCCCAGTAGCGCGATAATAAAGGCTTTGCTCAATGCTGTGTGCACATGCTTCATATTCGCAAGCTTGAAAGGCCAATCGAAAGCGAATAGTCCTCCAGAGGAAACCTCCGTGGCTCCAAGAATTTCGAGCCCTTTCGCTTCCCAGTCGAGGTGCCAAGCCAAAACCGCCGAGAGGGCAACAACCAAGAAGCGGTCTGGGAAATAAATCACTTGTGGGATACGAGGCACAAGCATCTTTTTCAAAGTTCTGCGGATGATCAGTATGACGAATGTAAAGCCGGGGCGCGGTACGAACCTGAACACCATGATGACAGAAAAGCTAACGATCGAAACGATAGCGGTTAGTCCATGGCACTCTCGAGCGTATCGAAAGACGAAAATCAGTTTTTCAAAACTGGTGCCATGACTGACACCGGTTTCTTTGGCATACTTGGCCAGACCCAATTCTGGGATAAGCTGGTCTACAAAAATCACAAAGCCGATGGCAGTGATGAATCCTCTCAAGAATGGTCGACTGAGCACGTTGTCCAAAAACCCTAGGCGGGTGATACCGGCAATCAAAATCATGCCGCCGGACATGGCAGTAGCCACTCCGACAATAAGGGCGGTTTCTGTAGGGTCGTCCTCGCCTGAATTCCCTTGCATGACACTTGCTTTGACAATAGCACCTGTCAGCAGGGAACCGGCGGCCTCTGGCCCAACTATCAGGAGAGGGCAGCTTCCTAGGATGGCGTAGACCAACGGATGGATGACGAAGGAGTAGAGGCCGCTAATGGGTGGTGCATGAGCAAGATTGGAGGCCAAAGAGAGGGCCATCGGGATATAGATTGATGCCACGGTCAACGCAGCCATGAGATCACCGCGCAGGAACGACCAATGATATTGTCCAATCCAATTGAAAAAAGGAATATAGTAGGATATGTATCTGCCATTAATTCGTCAGTTACCATTCTTGTGGCGGGCTACGAAAGTGCTCGTAGTACATGAATAAGATACGACCTACTGTTTATTCGTATCGGTTATTGGAAAAGTGAAAGATGATTTCATCTGTGACGGCGTCTCTGAGTCTGGGACTGACTCCGGGTGGTCTACCACACCTCTAGGACGACCGACCGCTCCGTCTGCCATTTCATGTCCGTTATATCCAGATGCATCGCCTGTCCCTCCAATGTATGAATGTCTTCCCACATCTTCTACCTGGGGTGAGAATGTACCATGGCTGCAGCGCCTTTCACCACACGCAGGATCGGCTTGGAGGTATGATTCCAGAAGTCGGGTTCTCACATCTGGTTCGCTCGTAACTCCGGTGCCGGTTTGGTTGTCCTGTGCTGTGTGGTTGCCATGGCTTGAGCTTGTCGAAATTCCAAGACCGGTTTGAGGCGACGAACGGAATGCATCGACAATGCGGTCTCGTAGAGTCCGACGTCCGAGTCCGTCGGACTCCCCGGGGAGCAATGAACTTGTCTCAGACATGATCGTTTGGAAGAGGCGCCTGAAGAATGTTATGTTAAAAGGTAAGATACTAAGTAGTCCGCCATAAATGCTGGTTGTAATCGGAGATTAAAAGCAATTCAGAATTAGGGCGACAAGCCCAGGCTGAATTGTTTTTGTCGGTCAGGCAAGGGCCAAGGGCCAAGGCCTGGCGCGCTAGGAGTGATAAGCGTGGAAAGTAGGCTTATCGCTAATTCAACGGTGATCCTCGGAGAATGACTGTGCAATGAGGATAAGGGGCATGGTAATCGTAGTCTCAGAGGATTCTCTAATTCGTAGATACCATCGATGGCCATCGAGTACCTAAGTGTACACAGGTAACTATAGTTACAAAGAACATTGCCCGTCTTGCCGGTTGATTTCAGTTGACGTAATGGATTGTTGATGTGTCAGCCAAGACCAAACAAGTGGAACTCCGAATTTGGAAGGCGGTGTAAGGCATAATCACGTGCCTTTCAGTCCCGTGACTGATCAGGTCAATGTGGGTTTTGAAGTCCGCCACAAAGAGATAGATTGTGCCTCATTCGCGTCGCCTCTCCCCTCTGCCGCTCCTGTATTTCTGACTTTACGATCACTCATATCCCGTTGGCTAGCATATCGATCGTCTCGATTG